ACGCACAGTATAGATAAGCTCGACCTTTTTCCACACGAAATTTGAACGGAATTTTTTCGTAGACACGACCATAGGGTGGCCCTTTGATTGAGTATTCATCAACGAAACGCGGTCGTTCTAGTGGAAGAGCGAGTTTTTCTTGGTATGTTTCTGGGAAATGAATTGGTTGTTCAGGATGTGTAAGGTCTGGATAAGGCTTCGTTCGATGATTATAACGAATGAAGGAGAAGAGAAACGATGATGGTCTGACTATACGATTTGAGAACATCTAGAAGAATAGGAGGATTATATGAGAAAGACAAAAAAAATCTGTTTTTCTTTCAAAGACTGTAAAAATCGATAGATAAAATCAAACGAAAGAAAAAAAGGTTTTTTTAAAAGAACAATTCAATTGTATTCGTCTTTTTTTGCACTAAAACTAAAGGAAATGTCTGTTTTCTTCTCATGTTGTAGTCATCTATTTGGTGACTTCGTGAATTGCATTTGCCAGATATGCGTTGTTTTTCGAGGTGACACCGGCCATTGAAATACGGCCATCCTTTGTTAAATAAACTGAGAAGTCTTTTATTAATCGGTCAGACTAGAAAAAAAAACAAAAGATATTTGCGAATGAAGAGAAAGAAATTGTTGTACTTGTTGAGGATTAAGTCCAGTAAAGCAAAACATGCCAATTTGATCGGTAATATGTTGCCAATTCTTTTTAGATCCATTCTGTTTTAAGTTACTGACTAATTGTGTGCGCATGGTGATGATACGATCAGCCATTTGTTTGACTTCTTTCAGCCATAATGAACGAAGATCTGGTTGAGTTAAGATTCTCGCGGCAATACGTGCACCATGAACTGGTGGATTTGAATACATGGGACGAATTAAGATTTTCAATTGGGACATAACTCGATCGACTTCATCTTTGTTTTCACAAACAACTGTGAAAGCGCCCACACGCTCACCATACAAACCTACATACAACAAAATGCATGACAAGCTCGTTACTGAGAAGCGGTTTACCCATATTTTTCGCATACGATTGAGCTAAAACTAAGTTGTGTTTATCTTCGACGAATTGTCGAACTGCGAATGCATCATCATCAATATTTCCGCTGGCAAAACCTTGATAAGCCATATCCATGAAGACGAGCAATTTTCGTTGTTTAACAATGGCAGATAATTCTTTCCATTGTTCAGGACGTGGATCCACACCGGTTGGATTGTGCTGGAGAAACATTTTATCAACTGAGTCATTGTTTTTTGAAGAAAAGAAAACTAACTTACAGCACAAGCATGAAAGAGAATAATGGAATTTTCCGGGATTTTGGAAATGTCCTCTTTTGCGCCGTTGAAATCGAAACCACATGTTTTGGCATCGTAATATCGATAAGATTTAACATCAAGTCCGGCATGTTTCATGATTGGCGTATGATTACCCCATGATGGATTTGGAAGGTAGACAACTTTATTTCCAGGAAAGAATTTTGCCTAAAAGCAATCCGAGTTGGTGTTGGAGAAGAAAATGAAAAGCTACAGACAATCAAATTACTTACAAGAAAAGCAGCACCAATACGAAGAGAACCTGTTCCACTGATGCCTTGAACGGTGGCAAACTAAAACAATGAGAAAATCATGACCAAATAACTATCCTTTGTCATATGGATCTTACTAATTGGTCTTTGACAACCTTTGAATTGTCACCAAAAGCCAATTTAGCACTTGCTTGACAGAATTCGGGTATGCCAGAAATTGGTGCATATTCTTTATCAAGATTATCTTTTTCAATTAATTTTTCTGCCTTTTTCACGCTTTCAAGAACGAATGGTTTGCCTTCGTCGGTACGGTAGGCGCCAACACCCAAATTAACTTTGAATAGAAACCGACTGGTTTTTTTCATCGAATCAATAGCAAACTGGTTTTCATACTTTTCTTCGGATTAGTATCTCGTTTGAAGGCTTCAGTGACACCAAGAATAGCATCAGGTGGACCCATTTCAACATTTGACCACCATGCACTAGACCGTGATGAAAACGATGTTGTTACCTTCTCATTTAGGAAGATATTTACTTTGTTGAAGCCAAGCGAGAAGCTTGAGAGATGATCCATAAATGATGTTTACCAGTTAAGCTAAGTGTTCGACTGACACTCATGATTGTTTGCGTCGGGTCAGAATTCTGAAAAGACGAACAAGTAAATATTATTGAGGCTCCGGTAGGTACACAGTCAGAGAGGTACTAGCAGATAACATTCGAAAAACTAAACGACATCATTGCTATTGGTAGTTGTGGGTACATCCAAACGTCCTGCTCTGTCTTGCCTCATCGTCGAAAAGAAATCAAACTAGATATACTACTACACTACTTGGAAGTAGTCGAATACGTGAATAGGACAGAAATAAATTTTTTATAGAGGACGCTAATATCCACTGTACACATGAATTGAAGAAAACCAATTCGCGGGGCTAATCAATTCGAACGAGAAATATTCGCTGAAACTGATGCTTCTATTTTCGCAAACTGTAGCGGATTATTTGGGGAATGAGAATATTGATATCATCGAATATCAGAGTCGAGAAATTTGTATGGGTAGAAATTAAGTCCATGGATTAAGTCACGAAAACTTATCCGATTTCATGTTAACGCTTGGTTTATGCTTTCCATTCCAAATTTATCGATGTTTTCTATAAGCGAAACAATGTGATGAGGATGAGTTGAAAGCTAATTACCTAGACATTATCCATGCATACAGAGTGAATCGCAATTTCATAAACAAAAATAAGCTAATCTAATTGTCCGCTTCGTACAAGAGAGCGTATTCAAATCTTAATCAAACGGCGTATTACTTAGACGAAATAATTAATCCATGTGATTTCCTATTTTCTGCATACACGTATAACATTCAGCCATTTTATCTCCTACAAACCTATATCTAAGTGAAGATAGATGTACCCATCTACGTAACCGATGCTACGAGACTTTCTCTACTGAATAATTTCAACTGGTCAGATAGTTACTAGGTATGATCACTCAATCAGAATATTTTTCGTTTGGTCAATGTCAACCATCATATACACGCATGATTGCACATTTACATAATTGTATGAAATATAAAATAGATAAATAGCTTGCATTTTGACCTACAAAATCATTCGCTGTCTCGTAATGCGAACGTAAATATTTAGCGATGATTGTAATTAGTACTGTTCTCTTTAACCTAAATAACAGTGTCTTTTATGTCTGGTTATCGAAGGAAAACAATATGTTGGTAAGGTAATTGGCGTTTAAAATCGATAATCAACTACCGTCGCTAAAACCAATCATGAATCTACATTAAGGATAAGAGTTAAAAGCTGTCCGGAAAGTGTCTCACACACAATTGAGCTTACATGGATTAAACGATCAGATGTGGCAATTAACGAATCATGAGAGCAACGAGTTCTTCATTATGAAAAGTATTCTATAGGTATCGTATGATCGTTAATACATAGCTTTATAGTCGAAAGGGGAAGCAATACCGTCACCTGGAAATATAAGAAATTTTTGAAGACGATGATACCGCTTCGATAGATGATTATCATTTCATACTTTAATCTAGGTTGAATATTTCATTTGTACGTGTTGGTCACATTCGGGAACGGTTCAAAAGATTCAATATACGAAACAAATATGTGGTTTTTATTTAGATGCTGATTGAATTTTAGACAATAAAATCTTGTAAAAAAAACTTCGTTCAAACATGGGAAGATTTGTGAAGTATTGTAAATCTTGGTAGGGCTTAAATTCTATATTTAACGATGGCATTGTCATGCGTTAGATTGCTGAATGAACGAAACACGAAACGGACAGAAAGGCGAGGAATGTAAAAAGAAAAAAACCAACCAATGCGTTAGCGTTCAAAATTCAAGAGTATGAATTTTCTCTTAGAAACTTGAACAAAGTACTAGACCAAGTTGAGAAAATTATTCAGTAGATAAACACACTTCTGAACAATTAAGCGTATCTCTATATGCTTTATTGAATGTTATCATAACTAAATTACCAAGTATCGATATAGGTCAGTAGATTTCTCGTATTTCGACATATTTTACTATACCATTAGCTGATGAAACAGTGTCGATAATCACCAACACATTCAAATCATCCGAAATAGAGTTAAGAACAACCCAATCGTCACTAGTTGAAATAAACTATGCTTAACACGCGATGCCGAGCTAGTGCGCTGTTGAAGATGTGCATATTTTCCGATTTGAACTGAAACATGAGCCATTGGTGACTAATTTCACCATTAAAAATTATGACTATCGGCATTATTGAAAATGACTTTCACGAAAATTGTTCAAATAATCATTTATTTCTTAGGCATGTGTTGACCTTTTAACTGTTTTTCTACATCGAAAGTAAATACGATAGTAAAACTTCGACATTTCCAAGCGAGTTCAAGTGTCACATTTAAAAGCACAAAATTTTCAGCAAAGTAGATCTAAGCATGAACTAACTGAGCAACTTCTTTAACCTCTAATCTTTGATATTTTAAAGTTCTAGAGTGACCGAGATTATTCTATGATGTCTTATCATACGCATTGCACTTCGCGACGATCATTCACTAAGATAGAAACGAAAGAGAATAGACAGTGATATAAATGGATATACTCGGGTAACGTCTGTGATTATTTATTTAGACAAAAACAGTAATGACTATAACCACGTCAGACAGTGATGACTCGATATGTATAAAAGATTCTTCGCCGAAATGCACTTTGAAACGACTTCAATGGACTTATCTCATCGGAAATTTTCTCATGGCAGGTAAACACGAACAAATCAATTTACGAATTTATTCTGATGAGAAACATTTCGCCTTTTGTTTTCATCATCAGCTGCGAATCATTTACCAGGCGCTTATCGCTATGCCATTTATCAAAGTTACGGAATTAATCGAGCAACGATTGAATTGTTTTATGTTATTTACTACGGATCAGCATTGTTTCTCGGTACTTTTGTTGCATCTCTTTCTGATCAAATGTAAGTCTGGTTTGAATCGCATTTAAAAACATTCATTTTCTTTGTTCCAGCGGACGTCGCTTTGCATGCGTGCTCTTTGGAGTTTTCTACATTCTGTACTGCTTTTCGTTTGTATGTAGCAACAAGTATTGCACATATCGGTAAACATCATGATCTTTATAGCGTTTTCCCTACACGAATATCCTCGCTCTTGGAACTATACCATGGGGTATAGCTAGTGCAATTGACCAAACGGTGTTCGAAGCATGGTTGATTACAGAACATCGAAAAGTATGTTCGCATGTTTGATAGAATAGTAGCAATTACAATATTCCTTTCAATTCAAGCTTTCTCGAGATCCAGTATCATTGAAATATATTCTACGGAACACGTGTAAGTAGCACGAAGAAAGACTGAATTGATCAGTGATTATTCGTTTCGTCAACGGTTTTACAGCTCTTGTGAAAATCTGTGCATCCATTGGAGTGGCTCTTGCTTCTCAATTTTTGGTACAATCATTTGGTTATCTGTAAGTATCGAAAGACGCGGAGATATTTATTAACTAACATATGCCGGTATTTGTTCTAGTGCACCGTTCAACGCAGCTATTTTGTGTTTATTCGTTATGATGACATTTATCTCATGTACATGGTCGGAAAATCATGGAAATAAACATATGTCATCGATGACCTCATTAACTCTAGGATTTCACGCACTTCGAGATGGTCGGTGATATTCTTTTCAAATTGTAACTGATTTTCCTTTTCAAACTTTTCTTTTAGACTATCGTATTGTGTTACTTGGATTATGTACATCATTTTACGAAGCAACAAGTTATATCTATGGAATCGAATGGACACCGGCCTTGCAGAATGCGAAAAGTATGATTATTTATGATCCAATACCATTGGGTTTCTGTTTTGCCGGACAATTAGTAAGAACGAATTTGATATTCTTCGAAGTCGAAGTATTCTATTTTATTAGTTATCGCGATTTATTGGTACATTAGCTTTTGGTATACTAGCCAGACATTTTCGAACCGAAAGTTTCATGATGTAAGCTTTTCTTGAAAATCCTTTCAAACATTCATAATAACAACTCTATAGAGTGATCTTCTTTCTGGCTGCTTTTGGATTAAGTGTGCCGATCTTTTTTCCCGATGTGAGTATACTGTTTAATTGAGAGCTTCATTCATGTTATCGATGGATATTCAAGGCACAATGGCCGATTATGATAGGCTTCTGTTTGTACGAATTTTCTTTCGGTGTCTACCGACCAGCTTCGGGTTTATTGAGAAGTGAATACATTCCCGATGATAGTAAGAATAACGAAGATTTCACCATGTCATTCGTGTTTGTTTGTTTGTTTTTCATCCATTCAGTTCGAGCAACTGTAATGAACTATCTACGTGTGCCACAACTTGTTCTCGTGTTGGGAATATTACTCTCAGTAAGTTTCTATAGAAAAATCTCAGTTGAATTACAATGTTTTGTGTTTTAGCATTTTCAATTATCCGTTGTGTTCTTCCTTTGGGTCTTTATGTCATCTTTAGCAATGATATGCATGACTTTACTGAATTTGTATGGGAAACTTGAAAATAGAGGCATACTTTGGTTTGAAAACATGATTTTTTTGTTTAGCGTGACATTGCCTAGTGAAAAAGTACCTGTTATTCAGCATAAGGACGTGCTCGGCTATGAGCCCATAGTTCAAAGTGAAAACACAATTCTTCAGATTGATGTGGATAGTTCCGGTGAAACTAGCGACGGCCATTAATAATGATGCTAATGTAAAAATTCTTATATAATCAGAATGAAACTAGATCAGTTTGTTGTATCAATTGAATTCGAATAAAGATTTAAATTAAACTAACGTTTAACATCTCATTGTACCTAAACTTATTATCGTTCGTATTGACATTCTTTACCGTGTATTACAAAATCAATCGAATGATTGTACGCATTGAAACGTTTACCTTATGTTGTCTTTGATTTCGCAATGACCAATCAAATTATGTTTTTCTTCGTGTTCTAGCAAATTAGTAATGTACCAAAACAATCATTGTGTTCCACCAAGTCTCTGTTTAAATCCGTACGAAAATCAGTTACAAGTAGTTATTGAGACATCAAGGTAAAAATACACTTAACCGTTTATGATAAAATACGCTACGGATGAAAAGTGATACAGCACGAGATAAGGAGACTGATATTATTTAAAAAAGAAACATTGTAGCAAAGACAACCATAAGAAACGATGAAACTCACGGTTCACCGCCTAATCTCTCAGGAAAACGAATGGACGCGAAAATCGAGTATCTCAATGAATGTGTAGCAGATCAGAATGAAATTCACTCGTAAAAATTTCAAGGTATGCTCTTATATCATTACTGAGAGTATCTACTATGTATGGATTGACATCCTAGTGTTTTTCACTACAACAAACAACAGTATTTTGAATTAGCAAATAGGTGTATCATACAAATGCATTTCTTTTGTCAAACTAATCATCGGATCAACCAATGACATTCTGAATCGTTTAAAAAAGAATTGGATGTCATCACAATGATAAACACGATTTTTCTCTTACTTAATATCAATAGTTCTTGTCTCTGGTTAATGTCTGAACTAAATATGAAAATGTCGAGATAATTGATTTTATGACAAAATCAGTTTCTAGATTCCCATCTTCGGATTACGACCAATGATATCGGTGTTTGTGTTAGCAGAAACTGTACTGTTTCAGATAAACTTTCGATAGAATTACTACAATAGTTGACAGCTCATTAAGCCGCCCACTGTTTTCAAACAGTTTTGTCATGTTAACCTTTGCTTTTCGAATATATATATTTTTTTTTTAAACTTAACTAAGCATTTTCATCGTGTTCTTTCTCTTTTTTACAAATATATTTCTGTGCTCGTAATCTTGAAAAAAAGATGGAAACGTCTGAACGGCAAGGATGATTAATATTGAAAGAGAAGGCGTCGCTGTACACTATTTCAGCACAAAATATTACTGATGTAAAAGAGACACGACACGCAGAGTATTGAAGCGTAACATGTAGAAGAAAATATTTCGTTTTATACAATCAGAAGTATAAATGAATATTATGCTTAGCTGACTAGTCCCATAACAATCACCTATCACCATCCGACATTTCATGAGTGCATGATTACCATGATAGTGTAAACAAAATATTACCCCGACAGTAACTTATACCTACGTCAACCAATCAGAATCTGTTATTAATATCAATACCTCATTTTACAAGCAGATCAACGCAAAACGTAGTCAAGGTAATCCACTTCGAGAAAAATACAGCGATTATATATGTATCCTTTTAGTTTTTAATTAATTCGTTGTATGTTATAAAATCGCATAATCATATCGGAATAGCCTAGTAAAAACTAGATACCTCTCACCAATTTCCCATTCGACATAATGTTGAACAGACAGAACATGGAAGTTTTTGATATAAATGTCCATTTGAATACGACATGCTTGAGCTGATAGAAATATAATAATGATTTGCAGCCGAGAGGACATTTCATGCCTGAATTTGTAAATGCACACCTACGTCATAACAAACTCAAGGTATGCAGCCTCCTACACATTTATATTACTCTACAATCATCCATTCTATTTGATGCTTTCACGTGTGCGCCACGATATATTGATATTAGTGTAAACACCAACTGATGTACATTATTTTGTGCATCGGTGAAAACGTTTTCTTTTGCTTCATATGCTAATACGTGTGGGTAATAATCTACCTTCGTTTTTTTTTTAGAACTTTGGGAGTAAAATGTCTTCGATATCGGTAGATGTTCCGACGTTTACACTTGGCCGAGATGATCTTCGAAGTATTATAAAGTTTATTTATGACCATGAACATATATTAAAAGATTTCGGTGCAATCAAACTTCAACTGGGCAGTGATTGTAATCTAGCCACCAAGAAACGACGAAAGACTTTGAAAATGTCAGCTAAACACCATCGATGTTTAATCAAAGATCACGATGAACATATTTACACAGTACAAAAGTCGTCCAAGGCGGCAGAATATTCGAATATAAGTTCAGATTCATTAGATGTAGCAGCCTTTTGGTCATCATTAACTTCAATGACTGATGATCAACGAACATTGAATAGTTCAGTAATACCCGGCAAAAGTTTCTTCTATCAAAAATCATCACGTCAATATTTCGATATCCATCGAATACCGTCTCAATCACTTCTCAGGGTTGGCAAGAAAAAAGTGACTAATGAGATCACTCCCTGTATAAGAAGGGCGCATGGGCCAAATGCTATATTTCCATTAAGTTCCACTCGACAAAATCTTTTTACGCTTGATTATCATCACGAAGGCGGCAAGCGTCACTGGTACGTTATACCTGTTCGCGAGCGAAGTCAAGTGCAAAGCGCTTGTCGAAGTCATTGCATTGATCATGGTGGAATCTTCATCAATCCATCATTACTCGATCAAAATCGTATTCGTTACCATCGAATTGTTCAACAACCTAATGAATTTGTTGTTTTGTCAGCTGGAACTCTAGCGCAAAGTTTTACTGAGGATGCTAGTTGGAATGAATCTATTGATTTCGCTCTACCGAGCTGGATCAATGACGGCTATGCAGATGCATCTCTTAAATTATGTCGATGTCGACTTTCCGAAGAATTCTTACAACCTCCTATTGATACGTCTTTGTTTCGACCAACGCTGGTATCCAAATATACTGGAACACATCTCATCAAAGCCAATGATGACAAATTGATTCTATCGAAAGGTATAATGAGACGTTTGTCATTGACTTTGATTCTAACTCATTTCGTTCTAGATGATAACGACCTCGAAATGATTATTCTACAAACACCAAAGAGTCTGATAGATGATTCACTCAATGGTAATTTTTCCAGAGCATTTTATTTATACACTGATATTAGTCACTGAAGAGTCTGATTAACCCAGATACAGTTTGAGATAATCAATATTGAAATTGAGGTGGCGTGTAGCTACCTGTACAGATATACTTTGATGTCACGCTCTATGATTTTTCGAATAATGATATTTGAGTGCCTGATTCATCGCATAGCATTGCCATTCAACCTAGTTTTTATCGATTCTATTTATAACATAACGTGTCTAATGATACAAGGATAAATCTTAAACTGCAAAACAGGATAGTCATTGTTTTTGTTCTTTTTCTAATTTAGATGATGATGATTTATCATTTCCATACGAGCCTCATATTTCATTACAAGAATTGCAATCATTCATTCAAACTCCCATAGTTTCGATTGAAACTCCAGCTTTGAGTACATGTGCATCGGATGAAGATCAAAAACAATCACCCGCTGATGATTCTCAAGTTTATTATGAAATAATGGAGTAAGTAGCATATTCTAAAATGAGTCATGATGTTCGCTTTTGAATATTTCATATTCTTCGATGATAATTACATAGTGCTTGTTTCAATTTTAGCCAGGGCAGATTTCCGATTACACTTTACACAAGACAATCGGAAATATCCTTTGAAGATCTGATGTTGAATGAGCAATTACTCGAGATTGATGGTTATTCAAATGACTCTTCGTGTGAAAATCTATTTTTAACAAGTATTTTCGACGATATTGGCAGTAATTGTGACACAGGCAGTGACGGAATTTCCTACGAAGAACTCTTAGAAACATTGCCATTTGCTGACGAATTTATTCAAATGGTAAGTCATACTTTCGAGATATTTTCTCTGGTTCATCCCGATCATTCATTGAACTGTCAGTGTAGTTAGTTCTTCGAGAATCAATATTTGTACGCTTCATCCTGAAGTTTTTTCTATTTATTTAGAGTACTGAAACAAGCATCTCCCATCCAACTGGCATAATGCCATTAGATAATGAGAAATCAGTTGATATCGGTCAACGCGTTCCTGAGTCTGATAGTATACAACGAACTCTATTTGTCACAGGATTAAATAATAATGTCACACGAAGGCAATTAAAGAAATGTTTTCCTGGTTGCGTAAAAGTAGTAATCAAACATAGTCATGAACCGCCACATCTCAAGTATGTTTTACATATACAATCGACTTGATCGTACTCATACTCTGTCTCTTTTAGATATGCTTTCCTTACGCATCGGTCAGCTGCAACAGCTAAATATAATCTTACGCGAAGACTAAATCGATCGCTACTTGGCTGTAATTGTCGTGTTAGTTATTCAGTACATCGTTCAATTCTCTCCACCATAAATCAAAGTCTTTGTGACAGAAAGATTGTAGTCACTGGAATACCAAGAAACGTTGAAGAATCTGACTTACAGCGTTTATTTGGTCCCTGTCATATTGAGAAATATACTCTAGCCCGTGAAGCTCGTTCCTCGGCTTCATTAACATCACCAGGAGGGAAATCGAAAGTGTTAACTGGGTAAGATTATGACGGATCACTTTTATCGATAAAATAATGCTTAACAAAACTGCTAATTACAGATATACCGAATGTCACTCTAAAAATACTCTTTTATTATTGTTTAGGTACGCTTTCCTTGTTTACAGCACTCCACAAGAAGCAGCAGATATACTCCGACAATCCAATCAGTATCAGTTACATGGCCAATCGCTACAAGTTTCTCAATATCGTTATTGAAACTTCTTGCCGATTATAACACAACAAGATTGATATATTTTCTATAAATGTGCATTTTTACATCGAATTTGTATATAAGAATTTTTAGGAAGTTTTATGTGTATGTAGTTTTGTTGCGGTAAATATTAAAAATATCACATATTATCGATTACGAACTTTTTTTGAAAAAGAAATGCTTCCGAAAATACATTTATCATTGTAGAGCAATCATATACCATGTCATAACAATATTCTTTTGTTGTGATAAATCATCGGGAAGGAAAGTGGTGCATTCACCATATTGACTGCGCCATATGATACGTCATCACCGATTACTTATCACAGTCATAGCTGAAAAATAAATAATCGGTTTTTCCTCTCGTTTGACGATGACCTTCTCCGAATACAACATGAATACTTTATTCGGTCAACTAGATTTCGTTTATTATTGTTTCAATAATTCAAAGCTTTCGTAATATCATCATAATTAACATGGCCAATAATAACATATATACACACGACGTAAAGACAGTAGTTAACGGAAAGTGCTAGAGGATATTTCGATGAAATCATGTGAAATGTGTCATGCACATTGGTTTCAAATGATTACTTACTCCAAGCAAAACAACAAGCATTAGTATAAGTTGAGGTACACGCAGATAATTCATCAATGTAGTTCGTACTAAGAACTGAATCGAGAAATCTTGCGGAGAAAAATTCATTGCTTACATTCATTTGGAATATATTCACTTCTCAATAAAGCTATTGAAGGCACAAAAATACCCTCACAGATCTGAAGCAAAAGAAAACCTAATAAAATCATCAATTGATCCTAAAATACAATGAAGATACACACATTTCATCAAGAAATTTGAAAGAATTTACATTCGGAGTTATGACTGGTACACTCAATCCAATAGCAGCAAGTAGGAAAATCACACTAGAAGAAAAACAAGCGAGATTCATTATCATAGATATAGATTTTTTCATACATCATAAAAGTTTGAGTACGAAACCGTTTGATAAGTGAACCAAAAGCAAATGAACCTAACAATCGACTTAACTAACAAAGAAATCAATCTACGAATTCTTTTCAAATGAGTTCGAACACGTACTAAATAACATGAATACATAAAACCTAATGGTAATGGTTCAGCGAATATTTTCTCCGTCGCTGCGTGTAGCGCTGGTGTCCATTCAATTAACCAAATGTAGAATGATGCACGGAACAGAGCATTGGCTAACCCACATAGAACAATTCGAGGATCTAAAGAATACCTTCAGTATGTAAGGTTGTCAAACAAAGCGATTCACTCGTTCGAAGTATTCGCATTGCTGGAACGTGTGTTGTATGAACAAAAACTTTTTTTCTGCCGTAATTTTCCGACCATTTGATAAGAATAAATACAAAGGAGATAGCAAAAAAGCCAATACCAACATTGAATGGCGCACTAAAAGCATCTAAGAGCTGACAATATAGATAAATATTCTATTTTTACATGTAACCATAAGATTCCGAAAGCAATTGAGCGAGAAAACCTGTTCCGATTGTTACGATGTTCAAATAAACATCTAAAACATAGGGTTTGATTTTTACTGATCCTATAGATAACAAAGTTTACTTGAATTGTACAAAATACGTTCCAGTACACAAATATCTAGATCACTCTAAAGTAATTCGAGAAATGATCGACTCGAAAGAAGAATTTCAACGAACTTGTTCATGTTCTTGCATCAACCACGCTTCGAATGCAGTCGAATAAAGTGCATCACCTATACCACGAAATATATGACCAATAATTAGAATCCATTCATTAGAAGAATTCTAAATTTTAATCTTTACATTCATACGATTTGTAACTTTTCAATCGAACTTTTTCTTACACATGACGCATGATACAATCCATATATAACACTACATAAAAGACAGGCATTCCGACGGCCACTGAAAGAAAAAAATACACATGAAATACACGCTTTTCTTTGCCGATCGAATAATGTTTTTGATTTACCAATGGTCAGCTAGTGAAGCAACAAATGTTCCACCGAATAGAGATCCGACAAAACAGTAGATAAAAAAGTGTTCAATGGTTGAATGGTCAATGCCATAACCACGAAAAAGAACATAATTATAAGCGCTTGGTAGATATCCGCCGACTAATACAAACAAATACAAAACAAAAAGTAGACGATTAGTTGGTTTGTATACTTGAAAGAAGAAGAAAACCGATCAGATAATTTGACTGAAGTTTTCGAGAAAACGGCGACGACATTGTTGGTTTCTCATGGCCGTCAGTTATCATTATCACATGCACCTTGTTACGTCGGTTAGATACGTATGCATGTATGTATATTATATATATACATAATACACGTGTGTCATGGTTGAATAACGTTGAAGCATTTTACAGGTCTTCTCTTCAGTGCGTATGTTTATCAATGTTTAAAAAAAGTGAATGCAACAATCATTATCTATTATGTAGAATATTTTATTAAATAATTACATATCGAAGTAACATAAATATTACAACTGCAGAATAGAATTTTGTCGATAGCAAAAATTAATTCTAATGTTACCGTGAGTTTTAATAGATTAGTTCGCAACACATCGTAGATTTTAATCGAACCTGAATGTGGGAATTCGCCATATCACTTTCGCATGGCACCATCAGTGATAGAAATTGATATCAACTAACAGCTTCAATGTTTTCTTTATTTAACAAAAAAAGATCACCCTTTCAGATATTGGCAAAAAATGTATATCAATGTGGATATATACAAATTCACTAAAACATTGAAATCATTTTGTCAAAACCGTCGTCGACAGGTGCCGGAGTGATAGTTACATATGCTATTATAAATATAATTCCACTTCGGATTGAAAATACGAATAATTTACTTTTTAAAGCACAAATACAATTAGCATCTCATATAACTTTAATTTGTTATTATATTTATTATTCAGTGTGTAAAAATTTCATTCTTTTAATTTGATTTATGGTTTTTCTTCGAAAATTATTTTAGAATCCATCTTCTGTTTATATTTGTGTATCGGAAAGATTTTGTCGGCAATTTATTTATGTTTTTTATTTATACATGCTGTAAAACAATGGGAACAAAAACATAGAATTTTTATTAATCAAATCAAAATACACATTCCCAGGTCGAACAATCCCATACTCGGATCCTATCGAATCCAATACAGAATTTTATCAGATCCTTCAGGAATTCGACGGATCCGATGAAATCTTGGTGACGGAATCGCATTGAATTCCGACGGTCTCGGATCCGAAACATGGATTTCCTGGGTTTCCTAAGGGTCATCATAGAATATAGCTAGAAAGATCGCTCATAAAATTTGCAACAACCGACGGGATTTTTCTAGTCGGATTCCAATGCAATTCCGTTTCCAGGAATCCGATCGGATTTTGTCAGATGGTCGGATCCGGTAAGATCCGATCGGATCCAGCATCGGATTTGTTGACCTGGGTGGGGATAACTACTATATAATCATGTAAAACATAAACCAGAGAGTCAGTTTGACGAATCGACACGAAGGCGAGAAAGAAATGTGATGTGATATGACAACGTTTCGAAAATCGAATATAATCATCAAAGTCTTTGTGTTCACGTAGGTATCTAATGGAGTACAAATATTGAAATTATTGCGTTTTTCTCTTTCAGATGAATTTCGATAGATGCACCATAGCGTATACGCTCAACATCACCTTATTCTCATTGTTGTCCCTTGTGATATTTATTGAATCGAAAGAAAAAAGACTGGTATGCATTTGAACAAGAACTTACCGGTGAGATCTGGTTCGGACAAGATATCTGTGATTGAATTAAAGCATGAATTGGAACAGCAGATAGTCAAGCATAATGAGAAATTAAATAATATTCTGGCCAATATTCAAATGGAAAGTGTTAAAAACATGAAGAACGAAATGCATTAGCAAGAAAAAAAACATTGGTATGAGTATAACTCACTACTCTCTCCGTAATTGCTTCACGTTGTATATCTACTCTTCTCTCTTTCAATATAGACGTACATTATTCAGAGTAACAGAGCACATAGTTCTTACATAATTTCCAGGACGATGATTTCAGAAGCAGTATTCCAATAATATCCGACGAAAACCTGCAGGAAATCTATTATTTTCCGACTGAAAACGTCCGAAAAATACACAGAATCCAGCAGAAAAGTCCTGTGGCCGCCGTATCCGACTGCCGTTTATGGCAGGTTCTGCTCGGATCTGAGCCGGATTCGTCGACCTGGGTTGTTCCTCTTGGACCGTCATAGTCAGTGGGATTTTGTTTGTTAATAATAAAAAGAATGGTATGCATTTTTATTCGTTCATATTTCCTTTGCTTTCTCATGTAGCTAGTCTTTGTTTCGTTATCACTTCTCTGTTCTCTTTCTCTCCTTTTTTTCTTCATGGGTTCATTCAGCGTACAGTTTTTTTAAATAGAAGCATCATGCATTGAATACATTAAGCCAAAATCTATCCTCAGTGAAGTTATACCAATGCCGCATGCAGCAGGTAGTCAAACGGTGACACAACTTGCTGAAAGAATCTATGGAGTCAAATTTGAAAAAAAAAGATCTCTCATACTATTATTTCATTCTTTTCAAGTATTAGAATTGCGACATGGAATATTCAATTACTTGAAAAGTGAGTTTCGTACAATGTATTTAATAAAGAAACGACTTTCGTCTTGTTTTTGCAGATTAACTACTGTGTTTTGAATTGTCTTGGTCAATACATTTTTCACTTTTTTCGACGATAATTCATTTGACATCTAAATAAAGAAGACAACATAATAATATTTAACTTCATATTTATCTTAGAAGTAGAATGTGAAAATAAAGAAATAAAATCTTTTTAAACTTATTGTTCATTTTCTATTATGTCTTTGATTGGATATAAATTCTCATAATCCTCATCGACATGTTAAACAAAATGTTTCACAACGCTCTGATAGAAATATTTTGTCAATTATAAAAAAAGTTTTTGAATACAGATGATGATTAATATATTTCAAGAAACTCGGTAAATGAACAATAAAATAGTAAAAGTTTTATTTAACGGAATATTGAGTATTTTTTTAACGATTGTGGATGATAAAAGTGTTCGTCTAAAGAAACATTATATCGAAAATATTCATTTAAATCTTGTTGTTGATAGTCATTACGAGTATGACACATTGTTGATAATGGATGTGTTTGTATTGTTACAATCTTTGCCCTTGGTAATACATTTGGTGCCGAAGTATCAGATATACGACAATCAATGCTGGAATTTTTAGTCGAATCTAAAAGACCATCAGTATGTATCCATGAAATATCGTAAGGTGTTGATGCTGCTTCTGTATTATAACGAATTGACATTTTCTATAAAACGAAAATAAAAGACAAGGTTTTACTATGAATAATCAGAAAGAACATTCGAAATAAAGTCAAGAGCTACTGATAAGTCTTCACTTCGTAACTATTTCTTACACTTCTTCTCTGGAGTAAACTAAATACTTACTTTTCGTTCTTACACTACCATAAACATCCATGTGACGTGAAAATAAAAACGATTTGTATAAAAGTCATCAAAGAAATGTTTTATTTTGTAAAAAAGAAACACTCACAGTTATTTCCTTGATTGAAATGGGATCGAAAACTGATAAATACATTCTTAACGATGAATCACAGTCAAGCGGTTCATCATCACCAAGATTAATCAATTACGATTTATCTCCATCAGTCGATGATGATCTAACATTAGTTTGGCTCGATCGAGAATTGCATATCCATCCGAAAAACATCGAAATTCAAATAAAAATGAAAAATCTGATAAATTCTTTTCGAACATTCACCGATGTTCCAGCATTTATTGAATTCATTGAGTCTAACCAAGCAAACCTATTCGTGATTATCTCTCCTGACCTTTCTCTAACATTGATTCGATACGTTCATGATTTACCCCAACTAGAACATATTTACATTTACAAAAGTAGCCGAGTTTATCGGAAAGTTCTGGAGCAAACTGTGAAAAACTATTCGAAAGTATGAATTAAAGTTTATTTTTCCATGAAACGTTTTCTATCAGACAATAAAATGAAAGTTTTCTTGGTTTTAGGTAAGAGGAACATATAGCACGTGTTGCGCATTGTTAGAACAGATCGCTCGCGATAAAAAATGAATGACAAATTTGTTTAATTTGTTTTTCGTCGCTCGATGAATTGCTGTCGTTCAAGCATTTGCTCCCAACGTCGATGGTCAAGTTTACTTAAGTCATCGTGTTGTGCTATCATCACTAAATACTGTGTTAGATGGAACAATTCTCGATCAGTCGTACGTGTGAAATGCGCACGTTTAAATGGACGGATTTTTAATCCATTTAATGGATTTAATAAAAAATTGCGCGAAACATCATCAAACATGATCGTGTTTTTCGCCGAATAGAGTGTTGGATATTTCTCCCATATGACGGGTAAAGGTTTAACATCTTGCAGACCGAATTCTTTTGTGTAAACAGATATCATTGCACCCGAATCCCTTTGAAAATTCAATGAAATTATCTTGATTACGAAGAGTAGGTCGCATACATATAAAACACAATTTTGTAATTGTGTTCGGTGTTTGTTGTCCGTCCTTGTGAGATACCTTCGATGCCGAGTAGTTTCATTTTCGATTCAATCCATTTCATTGATGTCGCCGACCAGATTCCAATGTCATAATGCTCATAAGCAGTCGTTAAAAATTCATGTAAATAGGGTCTCATCAATTCCACACCTGTTTCAGCTGCACTACGATGATCGAATAACGTGTAATCGATATCCAACACCAGTAGTTTCTTTCCTGGCCGTGGTTCATTCAAAATCTTGCCTTGATAAGTATTCACTCGTCGTTCTAATTTCATTCGAACTTCTTCGCGTTTATCCAATGGCACAGTGTCAGGGTCTTCGATCCAAGTTGTGTCTTGTTGTTCTTCTTCTTGTCCTTCGGAGAGGTCAGGTTGAACAGGTTTCGATGAATTGAGTTCGGTGATTGACTCTTCGGGTGTACCCATTAACATGATTTTCGCCGAAAGATTCAATTCATCGATGGTTGTAGTATTTGTAATCACACCGGATGTTTTTAATTTCAAACCCATCAGTTTTTGTCTATCCGGTAGAATGTGCGTTTGTTCATAGATTAAACTCTTCAATTCGCTCACTGTTTGAGTTGGTTGAAGATCAAAAGCTAGTTCCTGTTTATTCCATTTTAGAACAACTTTTTGAGTATCCATCTTGAAAAAAGAGCAGAGATTTTATTTAGAAAATTGCTCGTTCTCGATTCATAGTAAGAAACAAAACACGTGAGCCTTTTATTTTTATTGAAAAACAATCTATTTGCGTCAGTCTATTTTTGTTCGCGTGGGTTCCATTAATTCTTCGTAGGCTTCAAGCCACATTCGACCAGATTTTTCGAGTGATCTAGAAGCGAAAACTGTAGAACGAAAATACAAATGATTTCTCAGTTCTATTACGTTAAAATATCCACAAAGGCTCGGCCCATCGGCTTAACCACATACGGAATATTATATTTCCGACATAAATCCATGACTTCCGGTTGAATTTTATAAAGATTATGGCGTGGCATCATTGGAAAAAGACTGAAAGTTCAAATCGAGACTTAGTTTTTAAGCAAAACTTCCACTTCACTTACTGATGTTCAATTTGAAAGTTCAAATGGCCGGTGAACCAATCATTGAATGCTGATTTAGCAATATTACACGTTGCTCTTAACTGCATTCGTACCCACGACAGCTTCGAATTATCGTGTGCAACGTCCATAACAACATGATTAGATTGAGAGACAACGACTAAGATGAACGAAACGAAAACAAACGTTTTGCTTTCAAAAAAACAAAATCAGTGTGAAGTTGAACATACCAAACCAAGTACCTTCCAACGATCTTTAAACAAAAAATAAAACAGATTCGATTGATATGATTTTTCTATGTAATTACCGGATTATACAGTGAAGTTTGATTGCTCCGAAAAAGCCAAGTTTTAAGGGCATTAACGTGAAGAATTTGATATAGTATAAAGATAACCAAGCGACATCCTACAAGACACTTCGCTTAAAATTTGAAGAATGCAGTCGAAATTGTTTTACCATCCATCTTCGTCGTTTGACGGCATGGCGTATTGTCATGAATTGAAAATAGACAGGAAATAGGAGTGGAGCGACTGAAAAATATCTCTTGACAAATGTTTTTCACAATACATTCTTAATTGACTTTTACCGACGAAGAAATATAAATGTTGCCAATTATATGGCATTTTCTTTCCATATTTTGCATTCAGTTGAGCTTTCTAATTGAACAAATTATGTCGTTAGAATTTTGAAAGAAAACAAAACAAAACAATGTGATTTACTCGGATTGGAATCGTATCACCCAATAGAAATAAAGGTTCGATGCGCGTATCGGGATCTTTGTCGATAACATTCGGTTTTGCATGATGTTGAAAATGCATGTTATTCCACCAATCTGCACTACCTCCCTACGCGAAATCACAACAAATTTCCATAAATAAGATCTCTTCGAGAACAAACTTTGATCAATCCAATGCTTAGTTGATGAAATAGATGATTCCATGCGGTCTTTTTGAAGACAGATAAATGACCGAAATCATGTTGAAGCCAACCGCATTGTGCCTGGAGAATATAGAATGAATTTTTCAGAGAAAAACTCTTGTCGAACTAACTTCGGCGATGACGTAGAAAAGCAGTGTGATTAAATACGGTATCCAGCTCGTTCCAAAACGGAAGAGAACGAAGTAAGCCGCGAATTCAAACACAAGAATGTGTAAAAAGCTTATGATGAAAAAGAATCGACTTGGCTGGAAGAGTTTCTAAAAACAATCAACAAGAAATTCGTACGTGAAAATTTTTTCAAACAAAATCGCACTACCTTTGAAAGAGCCTTTTGTCTCAATTGTTCGAAATCACGTTTCAATGCTTGATCGTGATCTTCCGTATCATCGACAACATCACCGATATAGAACGATTTGAGATATTTTTCTACCAAAGTTATGTCCGGATGGAAAGCATGAAAAACTTCCTAAACGAAAGAGAGAATTCAGTTGATGACTCTACTTTCCTACCGTTGCATCTTGTCCAGCGTAATGATTTAGAATAACTTGTCCACCTGGATGTTTTGTCCATCGAGTGACATCGAAAACCCGCTTATCAACGACAAGCCATCGATCTGTTTTACTCGAGTGACGACGGACTTCTTCCCAAGTATATTGTTTTTTGTTGCTGTTGTTCTCAATCATTTCACGAGTTGCACTTCGATCTTTGTCTTGATTTTCGACTAGTACAGATGATTCAGAATTTTTACTGCCTTTACCCATAATCTGAGACGATCTACAAACGACACGGCGTGCTTTTTTACCATTTTATGAAAAGAATGGCAGCTGAACTTCTTTTTTTCTCCTCATATCTTCATTAAAAGGACACAAATACATCAAGAAGAAGAAGAAGAAGTATTTCGCCGGCCAGACATATGTACATCTTGCTTACCTTTCTGCTTATTGTTTCACAAGTGTAGCTTCTCGCAGACATTACTATTAGTTCAAACAAGCTGAGAGAGAAACAACGAAGGAGAAAAGAGAGAAAAAAGAACGAAGCATTGAAGAAATTGCGTACGTCAACTTCGGTTACTTCTCGAATTTTCTTCTTTTCTATTTTTTTGCGAGTTTGCTTCAGTCAACAAAATCCGAAAGAAAAAGATTTACTAGCAGAACCCAAATGATGTCCGACACGCAATAAATCAATAATTGCAAAAGAAAATAAGAAAAACAAACACATGATCAGTTATTAAACCATGCAGTACATGCTATTTTCTCAGACAAAAAAGAAGTAAATAGAAATGTACTTCGAGTGAGAAATAACAGTCGCAGTTCAAGGCCTTGCAAAAAATGTTCTCGTCAACTGAAAGTGCAACTTGATACTAAAAACAATCTCTACGTCTATATTTGAAGATTCGAAAGCGTAAACGCGAAGATATATATATTTTCTCTCTTTGCTTGAATTATTCAATTCAAACTGAGTCACTTCGTTGAGAATTATTAACGCAGGAGTGAAGGAGATTCTTTGATAATTACAAACCTTTTATAATTATGCATGAATGTTTGTAATTAAAAAGAAAAACCTACCGTTGAAAAATGACTTGTAACACATTCATTACATGTCGAGCCAATTATCAGTGGTTTATATAATAGAAGAATTGATGAGGGTAAAGAGAACTGTGATTTTCATTATGATCATGTGTCAATTCAATTTGTGATAAAGATTAGAAAGAGAAAAGAAGAGTCGATACAAAAAAAAACGACCTCGCAAAATAGTGGTTCGTCTCTTAACAACTGAAAAGCGTATTTAAGTGCGTGTTTTACTTTGATGAAAATAAAAATGAATCAGAACAGTTTCAATATTTGGCTGTCAAATAAAAAATAATATCATTTTTATTATCAGAATGTCATTTAGGTAAAAGAAAGTAAATTGTACATAGTCATATACAAGAGTATCTACATTATGATCATGATAGACATTGATGAGATCATATGTAATAGGAAAAAAGCAAGAAACGGGGATATAGCCATTTCAATTCGAAGTTCATTTCGATAGTAGGTGCGATAGAGAATTTGTATAATTTGAAAATTTTATATTGTTGAATTTAAATTTGTTAAACGTTGACTTAATTCCCACAGACGCCGACATTGTTCTCTGTCGTTCACTAGGGGATTAACTTTGCCCGTTACCGGTCGACAATAGGGTGGTGGCAAGGTTTTGCTGGGTATGAAGTAAGTGCCGCGAATGTTCTTTGTTTCGATATCCGGATGAGTCGCCGCATAAAGTGTTGTCATAGCGCCATTATCAACTGTTCGCATAAATGGTCTCATTAAACGTGATAACCATTTATTGTTCAGCCAAATAGCAGATTTGATCACACCCTTTGAATAAAAAGAAAATAGTTAATTTATCTACTATAATCTAGCACGATTTCTTTATACTGGATGTAAACAGTTACAATAAACACGTGACTCGGGACCGAGCCGATGTACAAGTTCTGTGCACATCATTACATTGCCCAATTTCGACTGACTATATTTCTGTAAGACTGCTCGAAAGGTACCAAATGATGATGTAGGATACGGCTGATTACGTTTTTGATCATCATATTCAATATTTGTTGCCTGTAAATGTGATCCACTAGCGACAATAACGATCCGTGACGGTACACATGCTCGTAAATCATCTAACAAGAGATTAGTCAGAAGAAAGTGTCCCAAATGATTTGTAGTAAACTGTATTTCTTCTCCGCATTCGGATAATTGAAAAGTCGATCCGAATATTCCAGCATTATTGACCAAAAGATGTAAAGGTAATTGTCGTTGATGGAATTCATCCACAAATTTGCGAACACTTATTAACGAAGAAAGATCCAATGGAAGGAATTCCAATGGTGCATCGGGCATTTTGATCTCTTGTTTAATATCATTGATTGCATTTTGTGCTTTTTCAGCATTTCGACAAGCGAGAATTACGTGCCAACCTTTTCGAGCTAATTCGCGTGCAGTTACTTTACCGATTCCTTCGTTTGCACCAGTTACGATTGCTACACGAGATCGTGGTTCAATTTGGGGTATTTCGTCAAAACTATACTGTGGCATCTACAAAAGAAGAAGAGTCAATTATTGAATTTCTTGACGTGTGCGTCGTTGATTATCTACTACAAATCTGTAATTAAAATGTTTATCACTATCTTTCATCATTTCAAGAAAATCTCGAGCATATTCAACACCATGTACACAATGATACAATCGATTTTGTGGTAGAGGTAAACTATCAATATAGGCAATCATTTGCTCTGATGATGGTAATGATATCAAACCGCATAGAACACGTGCCACTACATGCGATTGTACTTCTGCCAATGGAAATGGTACAATTCGATACGGGATGGTCAGAAATGATAGTGTACCATCAGGAAACTTGGCATGAAAAAGTTGCTTGTATAACGGATAGACATAGTGATTGTCTAATAGTCGAGTTTGATCAATTTGTAATTTGCCTTGCAAAAATGGCATACGATATTCGTATCCAGTTGCAAAGATGATCGAATCCGGCTTAATAGATGCTTGATTTTCGAAGTATACTGTGTCTTGATCGATGCGTTCAATTGGTGGTACAATACAAAACTTAGTTGATAAATAATCTGTACATATAGATTTACCACTTTGTCGTAGAAGATCTAATGCTAATTTGAAATGGTCGGTATTTTGCTCCTTCATAGATAGTATCACTTGCTTACTGGAAGACATCAATTCGCCGCAAATGTCAACACCAGAATGGCTAGCACCTACTACAATAACGCAGAAATTGCGGTAATGTTCGGGATCACGATATGAACGAGAATGAATGATTGGAAAGGTATGACTATGAAAGCCCGGGATATCATCAGGAAGATAGATTTCCGAATAATGACCATTAGCTACGCATATAGCGTCGAATTTTTCTGTATAAACAGCATAATCGTCGGTTTTTTCTAATAACTGTCGTTCAGAACGAGGTGGTAGTTTACTTGCGGAGTTCAACTTCATTGTATATGTAACAGTAAATGTTTCGTCGATGGAATTAACCGTAGTATTTAGACATATATATTGAAGAAGTTGATGTTTTTCTGCATAAGCAATTAGATAATCTTCTACTGTTTTCGCGTCTACATACGCCTCAGGCGGATCGTTGGGAAATGGAAAATCACTGAATTGCATAGCCATACATGGTATATTAGTTCGTAAATTTTTATACATAGCGGAGGTGTTCGACGTTGCCTCAGGATCGTAGTGCCATTGGCCACCAATATATGAATTTTGTTCGAAAACGATTGGTTCACAATGATACTCGTCTAAGGCAAGGACGCGAGCACATGCTAAACCCGAGGCACCACCGCCGACAATACATACTCGAATGCGTTTCATATATGTCTAAAAAACAACGTAATGAGGGGAAAATAACTCAACAGCATACCGAAGCTCGGGATTGTGAAAGCTATTCTCAATGTAAACTCGTCAACAAACATTGCGACTTTGCTCATTCAATCTAATGACACATACTTCTTATCATAAAACAAAACTGATAAGACTTCATTCATGAAATTGTCTTGGTACATTACAAAAAAACAACACTCTTCTATACAAAATCATGCTTTCGATGACGAAATGTTACTAGATAATCATATTCAAACATCAAGTCATAAAATATGGCACATAGATTCATGATAATTGTACAAAAAGAGAACAACTACTCGCTCTACTTCGTCATTAGTTAACCATTCCACCAATCAAATCATCGTTCATATCCTCCTTTTTGGACACATTCTTCATCATTGAGTCTTTGTTTTCTTCTTTGAAACTATAAAAAAGTCATCACATTTCGTTCATCTCATTGATTGCTAGTTTGATTTAAAAAATAAATTTTCTTCATTGCCACTGATTGTCGCGATAAATTTGCAAAGAGGTTATGTACGCAAATAAAAAAATGGTAGCTCGTCAATCTGTTGATCATCTGTTCTTTTCGAGGTTATGACATTGACATACGAACAATTCTAATCAAGATATGTCGATTGATTCTCCTGGCATCCGACCACTCTATTTAATAATTTCTATTCTTCTCTTCAATTATGGTGTTAGCAAAACTCTGATTTCCGATTTAACCTTATCTGCCAATTTATGCGCTAATATTACAATTACGAATCAATCCTATGGTGTGATACATAGTTTAAATTTCTATTCAGCTCAATCTCAACCACCAAACATATCTTGTTCATGGATAATCACCAATTTTCAAGCCTCGCAATGGTCAAATTATATACTCTCCTTGCGCGTCATTGAAGTCGAGAACGATCCCACACATTGGTCGAATGAATTAACATTTTGGACAGGAAATAAACAGATATCGGTCGATGATATTAACAAACGAATGTATTTACTACCATCTTCATCTTTGAAAATCTTCTTTCGTACGCGAGCGCCTCTCTTACAAACATACAATCCCTATATACGTACGAATTTACGCATTCGTCGATTCCTAATTGAATTCGTCCATATCAATAGTGAACATTCGAATGAAAATTATTTTCAATGTCGTTCAAGTGGATTGCGAATTCCTAAACAATGGAAATGTAATTGTATATACGAATGTTCTTATGATGATCGAAGCGACGAGGAGAATTGCCCACTATGTCCAATGTATGAACCATCAACTAGTTTATTGTGTCAATCGAACGAAATTTGGTGTTTGCCGAAAGCGTCCAGGTCATTCAGTGACAATCTTATTGATTTAGAATATGATGAAGACGATTGGATGCAATCACATATTAGTTACAGTCGAAGAATCGATTCGAAGGGTAAGCGATGGAAGAATAACAATGTACACGTCAGTTTAATTTTCATTTTAGGTGTTTGTGTACCACGTGATGGATATTCTTCGTGTTCTTATTCGACGAAAACATCGAATTGTGAGAAGATACTGGCATGGCGACAAGACTATGGACACATTTTGTTGGATGAGGCTCTCTTAAATAAATATCAATCTTTATGTTTTATAATCATTGCAAAACAAGAATACAAAATCAAACTCAACGTCAATCATGATGAGCTTTTTCAAAAGCGATCCGATCTTGAATTTCTTATCTATGATGGAAGTGTAGAACAAGATCAAATACTAACATCATCGAATTGGTTTTTAAGAAAAGATATTATTCAAACGAAGAATCATCATATAGCTACGATTATTATTCGAAAGCGTTCGGTAAAACCCATTGAGATCAATGATGACGCTCCAGCACATTTGGAATTCAATCAAACTTATCGCACAATTCGACGACGTGAGATCGATTCGATGGTGTTGAACATAACATGGCTAACAAGTCTTTGTCCTGATGATCAAATGCTTTGCGGTGGACATTTTGAGACAAAATGTTACACAAAAGAGCAGCGTTGTGATGGTAAATAGAAATTGGATTGTCTTGTTACATTCTAATTGATTTCTAATAGGTTTTTGGGATTGTATAAGTGGTGATGATGAACTTGGATGTTCACCGGAATCATGTCCAACGGCATTTGCATGTAATGATCGTTTGCATTTGCCTACGGATCAACCGAGATGCTATACATGGTCGGAACGGTGTAATGGCAATGCATTTTGCGCAAATCGGTCTGATGAACGCTTTTGTTCGAATTGGTGGTGTAATTCCAACAATGGAACATTTCTATGCAAAAATCTCAACTGTATCTACGAAACTTGGGTCTGTGATGGTAAGACGGAGAAAAAATGAGTATTTATCATTCGAATCAATACTGTATATTGAATTTCCAGGTACGGATGATTGTGGTGATCATTCTGATGAAGTCAATTGTCCATCGCGTGTGCCACGTCGTATCGTTACAGCTGCAGTCATTGGTGCAACCATTTGTTCAACTTTATTCATTATTGCACTTGGGTGTACATGTAAATTATTTCATTTACGTACGGCTGAACGACGAGCGACGTCTCGTTTATTAAATCCTCAACGTTATATTGAACAACGTCGTCAGCAAATTCAGCGTGAACAGCAACGACGTTTGAATCAACAGAATCATTCTCAAACTTCAGATAGATCAACGGCAGTTGACAATTCATTGGAAATATCCAATGAAGCACGACGAATAGCACCGCCATCCTACAATCAAACGATGGGCCTTATGGATGAAAACGAAGAACGCCACGCTGCTCTTGCTGAACACCTACGCTTAGCTGGTCTAGCCAATTACATCATACCAACACCTTTATCTAACAGTTCAAGAACATCACGATCAGCATCAAGACATCGACACCGACGACATCGAAGACATCGGCATCACCACCATCACCATCATCACCATCGGCGTGCTCATAGTGAAGGTAAATAGAATAGTAATTGATTTTCTCTTCTCGCACTCAATTCTTTGCCATTCAAGGTTCTCGTGTGGCATTATTAGAACCAAATGTCATCGTTCCGAATAATGCATTTCCTGCATCTTCCACCTCATTTTCTTTTAATCGTTTACGTTCACATCTTCGTTCGTTATTTACAACGATCAGCAATGACCGACATAACAGTATTCAAACAAACTCAAATTCCAATCAATCTGATGTCTATGAACGTCATAATCCATCGACTTCTCACCGAAATCCATCTCTTGCTCTTTCGGCTCGTCCATTTGTAAATTCTGACTTTATCCAACCGCGAGAACTTCCACCGCCTTACACCGAAGAACAATTAATGTCATTGAATCCATCATTAACTTCGTTGACAACTTCGACGACAGTACCACCAACAAGCACCAGTCGTCGCAGTAGCAACAGTGGTAGTGATATTGAATCAAACAATCGATCGACTTCGACGTCATCGATGTATCGTATTCGTAAACGACAGATCCCTATGAATACACTGCGTGATCGAATGAGACAATTCATATCAGGAACATCAGCAGTGCGTTTAACCACAGACGATTTGAGTCATCCGATGCAACCAGCAACAACGACGACTATTGATATTGATTTAGTAGAACAACCACCAGTTGCAACTCTCAAAGATGATGAACCACAGAGTAGCGATGATGACAAAATACTAACATCTTAGTCTTTAGACACGTCTATAAATTCATCGTTTGAATTCTTTTTTGTACAAAATGATTTCTTCTTCGTTCTTTTTTTTCGGCTGTCTCGTCCCTTCTTTGTTTTGTTTATCCATCTCTTGTTAACAAACCCGATCTGATCTTGTCATCCAGGGTAAATGTTGTCATATTCCAACAAAAAGTTTTCTTCTTTGTGTATACTACAGTGATGTTCTTCTCCTATATATATATAATCTTCGTTTCTTCTTATTCTACACTCTTTCTGCTCGTGTTGGATGTCAACAATTTTAGAGATACAGTACTCCTTGTATTTTTCTACATGAGTTTTCTGTCTTATCATTATTGAAGGGAAATACCGTTTTTATTAGGTTCAAATATATACAAATACAAATACAAATAAACCAAATATATATAGAAGAACAACTAAAATATTCCATGATTAGATTCTCTCTGGGGTACTCATTTGTATTCATAAATGATACATACTGTCTCTCAGTTTCGTCTTCTTCTCTTTCTCTCTTTTTGTGCTCATCATAACTAGTGCTACGGCCAATTTCCAACAGTGAACACAAGGGGAGGAACAAAGAGAAGAAAAGCAAATTAATTCAATCTATGTTAAAACAAGAAATAGAATATTCCGCATCTTTTTTTTCTCTTCTTTGTATCCATCCTTCCGACAATGACAAGAAAATTAGAAGCACAAATCAACTAATTCAGTCTAACTGAGATTCCGACTGGTTAAACTGTATGTGCATAATATTAGCAATGGAAAGAGGCGGAATAAGTAAAACAAAATGGTGTTGTCACATCATCATTCTTATCATCGAATGAAATAAAAACAAAACGACAGAGAGAAAGAGAGAGAGAGCGGAAAAAGGAGAGAAATTCTAAGAGAACAAAGAGATAAAACAAAAAGAAAAGCAGATAATATTCGATTGTGATCAGTAACTAAATGAATGACAAGAGAATGAACACATCTTTCTTTCTTGTATGTCTTCCATACGCGATTTCTTTCCTGATTTTAGTAAAGACTGGTCAACAACAGATTGATCGAGTAAGAACAAGGAACTTTTCGTAAAACTAAGTGTATTCTCAAGCACTAGTAATCGTATGAAATGTTTTATTATTGCTTGAGAGTATTCCTTAATATTGTACGATACATCATCGAAACTTGTTTGAAAGAAACACGATAGGAGAGGTAATAAGTAGCGACATCTTTTCTTAATAATTAAATTCTAGGGTTGGTTAAATCTCGCTTTCATGTATGTTTTCAATAGCTTGCCAACGATAGAAGTCGACCGATATTGTAAAACAGAACAATTTTACTCTGTCAAATGAGTATAAATAAAAATAAGTGGAAACGAAAGAACTATTGATATTGACATCTTGAGCGTTCAATAGTAGCCTATCGATTCACTCATGGATGCTTTCTTGCTCATCCTCGCTTGTTTGATATTCACATGTTTTCTTCTACATCTTTACACTCGTCAAATTCAACAACCACTAAAGGATCCCAACTTTCGAAAATTTCAACGAGTTTATCTAGTTGTTTATCTGTTAGCTGTTGGTAAATTGATCATACCATGAATGATGTTAGTAATCAAGAACATGCTCACTTGTTTTAGCTGGTGATTGGCTTCAAGGACCACATGTTTACGCGTTGTACGAAAGCTATGGCATTGAAAAACATGAAATCGAAATACTTTTTATTGCTGGTTTTGGATCATCGATGATACTTGGAACCTTAGTTGCATCTCTCGCGGATAAATAGTAAATCAATTGCGATATACCTTTGTCTGTGAAAGTTCTTCGTTTTAGTGGTCGACGAAGGATCTGTCTGTTGTATGCAATACTCTATGGGGTATCATGCGTGACCAAGGTGATTAAAAGATAGGCGATGTATACATCTAAATGATTGAAATTTATAGCATTTTCCAGATTTTCGAGTCTTGTTCGCTGGACGATTACTCGCTGGCATGGCGACGTCAATTTTATATAGTGCATTCGAATCGTGGTTAAATAATGAACATCGACGAGTGCGTAGAAGAATTTTCTTTCCATGCATTCTATCGAATGTCTTTGAATTAGAGGAATTTCGAATCCGGATCATTAGAAATGATCTTTACGAATGCGTATTTTGGAAATTCAATTGTAGCAATTTTGTCAGGTATTGCCGCGCAAATCGTTGCTGAGACATTTGGATACGTGTAAGTAATTCAACGGAAATTTCGAGACTACCCACGGATATTTTTGTGTAGAGCACCGTTCGATAGTGCAATCATAACATTTTTTGCTATGTGTGTCTTTTTGATCACGACTTGGTCGGAAAACTATGGCGATGCTAGTGCACCGGCTTCTCAATCATTTCTTTCTGCTTGGACTGCAATACGATCAGGTATTTGAAATGGAAAGAATCTTCTTTGTAACAATATTCTTCAGATCGAAAAATACTCCTTTTGGGAACTGTACAATCGCTTTTTGAAGCCTCGATGTATGTTTTTATATTGGAATGGACCCCTGCACTAACTCAAGCTTTGAATAAAACAACGATTGATAAAACAAATAGTAAAAATCCTCCGATTCCTCATGGTTCGTACTCATGAAACGCTCAGAGAGAAATGAAAGATTTTCGTTGATGTATAGGTTACATTTTTGCCAGTTATATGGTAGCGATGATGATGGGATCTAGTGCATTTGAAGTGTTTCGTAATCAAACAACACCGGAGTCATTTACAAGGTTTGACCAGTTGATCGTTCATAACGTTTTAGTTCAATTGATTGATGTTTAGGTACATTATGATTGTTTCAGCCTGTTGTTTGAGTGTACCAGTCTTTCTGCCATATGTAAAGTTAGAATCATTTTGGAGGAATTTAAGCTCATTTTTAGTTTCTAGGATCAAAAAACGATGTTCATTGCGTTCTTGATCTTCGAATTTTGTATTGGTTTATTCTGGCCGTAAGTATCAGTGATTTGAAGAAATGAGTTTCGGAGTTCATTTTCTTGATTACAGAGCGATGGCAACAATGCGAAGTAAATATGTTCCTGAAGAAGGTTTGTTTCATAGAATTCATTAAATAACATTTCGAACAAACATTCTCTGATCATTTCAGCACGAGCCACCGTTATGAATTACATTCGTATTCCGTTGAATCTAATTGTCGTTGTCATATTACTCAAAGTAAAGAGATGTTCTTCAACTTTCACACTCATTTTTATTCATTTAGGATTTTCATCTGAAGATCATCTTCATGAGTTGTGTCTTCTTCTTGGTTCTTGCCACTGTTAGCATTTTCCTGCTACATAAGTTAGTTTCACTTAATTAGCAATCGATTTCCTTATTCTATTCAATGGTTTTCCGCTATTCTTTAGACTAACATTACACCGTACTATATCATTATCTCCTGTTGGGTATCTAACAAACGCACAGCATGAGAAAATGCTGCACGATGCAAATTCTTCGATGAATGAAGAAATTTGAAACACGAACAGCATCGAGAATCTCGTCAATGACAATCTCTACAGTGGCGATTGTGATAAAACTTCTTTTTCTTTTCAATCCGATCACAAACATTCCGACGGGCAACACATTAGTCTAAATTTTTATTTCTACAGTAACATACTTTGTTAAGTTCTTTATTAAAAATAAATTGGTTTACATCAAATTCTTACTCATAGTACAAGTAGTGCTTTCGACAACACATGGACTTCTTTTTCATTCTTTGATTTGATGATCATGTTTAAATAACCAGTACATATTCGTCGATTTCGAATCGAGGGATTTATCATATCGGTATAAACGAGAACTATTCGTATATTTCTTTTCTGGCTGAAGTCGACGACGATGTTTTATGTCGAGAAAATACGTACAGATATACATATCATCGAAAGGAAAAAAGAAGGAGAAAACAAAAGCTAAATACGTGATTTTCTCGTTTATTTATATTCGTCATTTAATGTGCTTGTGAATAGAATGCTTCAAGTCAAAAGATTCAAGTATGCTTGATAATTCGTTTTTCTTCGGACTGACCATCAATGCTATTGTTCGCATTTTAGTAGGCTATATCATTATTGGTCATCATGGAGCTTAAAACAACGCGTAACATTTGCGGTACAATTATTTGCAATTTTGGGCATTCTATGTTTACCTGTGATTAGCATCGCTGCTCTTGTTCTCACACTTGCTGTACTTAATATGACACTCGGTATACGAAGGTTTTATGTGAAAGTTCTCACGTTTTTATTTGATTATGCGACAAAGATCAAAAAAGATAAGGAGATCGCCATTGAAGCGGATTTCGTATCCATGGGACCATCAACTCCACACAGCGAATTACATTTCGCTGACAGTTCAATAGACAGTGCAATCGAACTCAGTCCATTAGATGCAATGAAAAAGGAAGATGACGCTGCACAAAGTTCGAGAATATCAAGAGCATCATCACAATCGGACATTCAGTTTAGATTCAGTAAGATTTAGTTTTGTTTTCTGCTAATATGTGAGAAATACCGAGTTCTTCTTCTCTAGGCGATATTCTGGATTATACTCGTCAAGGTCTCGAAGCGATTGTTGATGATGAAGTAACAAAGCGTTTCACATCTGCTGATGAAATGGCTGTGTGGAATTTATTAACACGTACTCAACAACAGCATGAATTGTTTTCACTTCGTGTTACGATCCTTTGGTTTCTTGGATTTCTTATTCGTTATTTCATTCTATTTCCATTTCGATTATGCTTATTCTTTCTGGCCATGTTTTGGATGATGGGCGCGATTCTATTTCTCAAATATCTTCCCATATCCAAAGGCAAATTACGTTTCGGTTTTTATATCAACATTGTTTTACATCGAATCTTGTCACGAGTCTTCTCGGCAATTATCACTTTCCACAATACTGAACATCGGGCCAAATGCGGATCGATCTGTGTAGCTAACCATACATCGCCGATCGATGTGATTATTTTGTCGACGGACAACGGATTTTCAATGATTGGCCAGAAGCATGGCGGATTTTTCGGCTTGGTGCAACGAAGTTTATCCCAAACAGCGAATCATATTTGGTTCGAACGTTCAGAAACGAAAGATCGTCATATGGTTGCTGAGAAAATGCGCGAGCATATAAAAAATCCAACAAATCTACCGATTTTAATCTTTCCAGAAGGCACTTGTATCAATAATACATCGGTAATGATGTTCAAAAAAGGTTGCTTCGAGATCGACGAAGCACCGATCTATCCAGTCGCAATTAAGTATGATAATCGTTTTGGTGATGCGTTTTGGAATTCGTCCAAACATCAATTAGTTCAGTACTTAATTCTAATGATGACATCATGGGCAATCGTTGTTGATGTTTATTATTTACCACCGATGAGAATTCAACCGAATGAATTATCAACCGATTTCGCTCGGCGGGTGAAAGCAGCGATTGCTAAGCAAGGAGGTTTCGTGGATTTAGAATGGGATGGTGGACTGAAACGTTCATTGCCGAAAGCTGATTTTCGAGAAGAAGAACAACGGAAATTCTATGAGATGCTCAAAACAGAATGAAGTCTTGTTCGATGATTAAGAACAACTCGTTCTCATCGTCATTTTCTGTTTTCGGTTTCTCGTTTATGTAAACAGTTTTGTTCTTGAAAATTTTCGCAGATATTTTTACTTGTTTTTCTACCGATTACTGGATATTTGTCTTGTTATAGATTCAATTTCGTCTATCACCATCATGCCACCTGGTCAACAACCCAAGCCACCTCGTTACTCATCGACTTGTACGATCAACTGCTCCGTGTTTTGCTTATTTCGATTGCAACGTCTTTTTATTTAGACGATGATGATACATATCAATATCGTCACGTGATTTTGGATAAAGAAATGGTATCTCTGATGCCGAAAAACCGCCTGATGAATGAAATGGAATGGCGTGCGTTAGGAATTAAACAAGGACCTCACTGGGAACATTATCTTATTCATAAGCCTGGTAATCAGTCCTTGTATTTTCTGAGTTCAATCATTTTCCATAGAACTTTCCTCTCTTAGAACCGTTTGTACTGATGTTTCGTCGTTTATTAAAGTATCGCGTTGAACCTGATCCAGCTATGCAACAGCAAAATACTCATTTTCCAACAACACGCATGCCAGTGAGCGCAACGATGAATATGTCAACAAGTTATCCACTCGGAGATTCGACCAATACGAAAAAGACATTATCAACACGTAGCGGCAGTTCGACAACTGGTCTTCGGATGAGTGCAGTGAATCCCTATAAAATGACACATGATCATATTGATGAAGACGACAATGAACTTGAAGAATCAGGCTTTGCTAGTCATTGTGAAGAATAGAGAAGCTTTTTTTGTGTATTGAATGTTTTTCCCTTTCAGTTCACCGTCATTGTTATTCTTCTCTTTTAATTTCTATTTGTTAGATATTTCTTTTTCCTTTCTATTTCATTCGTTTATCGAATATCATAATCCGATCGAATATTTTCATTTCTTTATATTTTTAGACGCAAAAGAACTCTATCAATCGAAGAGAAGCTATCGAACTGATTTTAGCATAAGAGAGTACAAATACAAGCTTTTTTTGTCGTCAGCAATGGCCGCTAAAGAAGCTGTTCAAAAAGAAAAAGAATCTCAAAAGGAACAGATTTACTATTCGGATACATATAAAGATGTATGTCTATTGTCTTCCTTCTTACGTCGAATTTAGTTTTCGATTCTTTTAGGAAATGTACGAATATCGACATGTTATATTGCCCAAAGAAATTGCTAAGAAAGTACCGAAAGGTCGACTACTATCAGAAAACGAATGGCGGCATCTCGGTGTACAGCAATCGCTCGGTTGGGTTCATTTTATGATTCACGAGCCAGGTAATCATTTGAATTTTTTCAAAAACATTTCCCATTTTTCGTCATCGCTTTTCTAGAACCTCATATTTTACTATTCCGTCGTTCTCTCAAAGTTAGTCAACAAGTTCAACAGCAACGGGCTGCAGCAGCAGCCGCCGCTCAAGCTCAACAACAACAGTACAATGCTTTGCATATGAAATAGCATCTATCATTTATCTTTTTCTTTTCTTTCTAAACTATATATTATCATCTCTCGTTCTATCCCGTTACGTAACATACCACATTGGAGCATTGGGCATGTGTGTACATTTTATTCTTCGGTATTCTCGATTAATCTGATTCGCTTCCAAATACGCAGGATTCATTGAATTTCTTTTTCTTCTACGATTTGGACAATTCTATGTTTATGGCAGATCTACCTATGTGTTCAATGTGAAGTCAATTCTTTTCTTCTTTTTGCTCTCTCTCCCCTGTCGCGTTTATTGGTCTTGCAAACTTTGTCACATCTTTTTTGTCAATCGTTCTAATGAAATTAATGAACAGATAACTCAAAAAATGGCTCGTTCTTCATCCAGGTACGCAGTTACCGAGAAAAAACATCTCTATCTTCAGTCATGAGAGTTCGAGGGATAAACTGTAATATTCATTCTGTTTTCTCTCTGAAAATCAGAGATAAGAACGAGATAGAAAGGACGAAGCGCGCCGATCTCAAGATAAACCACTTTTGTCAACGAATGGCCATGCTTCGTTTTATTGTTGTCATTACACTTGCGATACCTCTATTAGCGATTATATTGGGAAGTATCGAAAATGCTCAGTATACGAGTTTGCCTAAACCGAAGTATCTTGGTCCAATACAAAACGGCGCACCATCGAGCACGAACGCATTCGGTCGATATACAAAACCGTTTTCAGTCATTGACTATTCATGGGTTTCTTCGTCGAAACTCTTCGACTTCTTCAACTTGAAACATTGGGATTTCAAATCTATATCAACCGAACGTTATTTCATTGTAGCTGCCATTGCTAATTTTAATTACATTTCTGCGGCTTTTGTTTATGTAATTGATCGAACTAGTGACGATAAACCAGTTTATCAATATTCAACTCGTTCAATTCTTGCACAAGCACTCAAAGAACAAGCAAAATCATCCATCGAAGGTTGCACACATTTTTTTCGATCATCAGCCGAATATGTTCGTCTTTGTTATAACAAAAGCACGAAAATGTATGTAGTCGATGCTAATGTACCAATGGGGGATGGTGTACAAGTATCGTTTGATTTTACCATCGATTATTCAAGTGAAAAAGACGAATCAATGGTTTTACTTTACCCTGTTCTACAAACTCGTCCAGCGTATACGCATAAAATAGCAGGTTTGCCATCTCGAGGACATATTGAATTCGGCAATGAAAAAACTAAACAAGAGCTTTCAAATGGTCTTAGTAGTATAGATTGGACATTGGCTTATTCAGAACGATCATCCCATTGGAAATGGTAAGGAACTAATCGAAATCAGTTTGATGAATTATTATTTCGATTATTTTAGGATTTCACTTTCTACAGTCGGGATTGATTCTTCAAATGACGAATCGGTTACCATCGGAATAAATCTTTCCGATATAGTTTATAACGACGAGAATGGTGTATCGATGGAAAGTGCAGTTTGGTGAGTAGAAAACAAAGAATCTGTTTCACTTATCAAATTTGAATGATAGGATTGCTGGTAAAGTTTATAAAGTTAATCTGATTGCCTATGAATTACCTGAAAAACAATATTTAATAAGTAGCTCATGGCAAGTTTATTCTTCCGGAAGTATTGATCGAAATGCTCCGAATATTCGTTTGACTTTTCAACCTCATGGTAGTCAAGAAGAACATATCAATCTATTTATTCTTGACGCAGATTTTGTACAAGCTTACGGTACTTACAATGGAACAATCGAACTAGCTGGTCGCAAGTATATTATTGAAAACGGTTTCGGTGTTGCCGAAAATCATTATGCAAAATGGTGATCCGTTTTTTATTCCGAATCTGTAAAATTTCCTTTTTCTATGAATTTAATAAAACTACGTGTAATCATTCCTCTTGCATCAATGAAATAATGGACTCTAAAACGAAGTTTTTTTATTCATTCAAAAAAGTTGCGCCGAAAGAAAACATCGTACAATGTTATAAACAGTAAAAATGCTATCGCAATTTTTGCGTTCTGCTATGAAACGAAAAAGCATGTGCTTCCAAACTATGTCGAAGGTGTGTCTTCAACGTAAAATTTATTAATACATAAAGACAACAAAATCCAATATAATATATGTAAAATTTAAATACATTATTTACATTCTCATTGAAAGTTCATTCCGAACGTCTACGAATAGCATTTGTCATGCAATGAGCACCACCGCCACCTTCTAGCAAACCTTGAGATGGAATGACATCAACCGAACATGCTCCGTTGCGCGTCATTTGATTAACTATACCTTTCTCGGGATTACCACCAGCATAAGTCACTACATGATAGTCATCAATGGCTACAACATTATGACGACATTCTCGTTGTTCTTCTATCGATGTNGAATAGCATTTGTCATGCAATGAGCACCACCGCCACCTTCTAGCAAACCTTGAGATGGAATGACATCAACCGAACATGCTCCGTTGCGCGTCATTTGATTAACTATACCTTTCTCGGGATTACCACCAGCATAAGTCACTACATGATAGTCATCAATGGCTACAACATTATGACGACATTCTCGTTGTTCTTCTATCGATGTTGCTTCATCCACAGCATCATAAAATCTCAAACTATTGTTATTTAATAATTTTCGAAGTGCTGCGCGAACGTCACAACCATATAAAATCCATTTAGGATTGATAAACTTGTTATTGTTATCATCATGTGTTTCGACGGTAAATACATCCATTTTATAAGCTAATGGTCCATGTAAGGTAAATGCATTTTTACCGACGGAGCTAAGAACAGTGTCTAAATGCATGTAATCACGTTGTGGTGGAATCATCACAGCAATTATTTGTTCAAAGACACCTGTTCGGGCGAGGGCTTCAATAGCCAGTCTATTCGTACGTTCACCACAACCGATCATGAGAATACCTTGCCCTAGATAGGCCACATCACCACCTTCGACTGTTGCCATTTGTTGTTCAGCAATAGTTGTTTGCCATTCCACTATTTTCAGACCCGATGTTGATAATTGAGGATGATATTGAAAAATAACACGATAGATAAGCGGTTCATTTCGTCGCGCTGGTTTAGCCATATTCCAAATGAAGACATTTTTCTCGATGACTGAGAACGCATCACGGGAGAACAACAAATTTGGTAATGGTGGAATAATGAATTCCGTATCTGAATTCGTTTCTTTGAAAATCGTTTGTGCCGCAGCAGAACTGCCTAACTCATGATGTGTCCGAGTGACACCATGGACAATATCATCAGCTAATTGTTTTGCTGTTCGATTTCCCAACCATTGGCGCACTGCTGTTAACAATTCTTGTTGTCGTTTACTTTTCAACGAATAATTCGAAATGATCCCATCGATGAGTGTTTGGCAAGCGTCGTAACTGTTGACCAGCGTTTGAGTTAACAGATCTTTCATATACAAGACATGAACACCATTTGTTCGAAGACATTTCACGAATGCATCGTGTGATTTTTGTGTTTGATTAACATCTGGAACTGCGTCGAAGAGAAGTTGTTCGATGTTGGTCTTGGTCAGCCGACGAAGTTCTTGTCCAGGCCGATGCATAAGAACCACATCCAGTTTTCCGCATTCGGACTGAACACCAACACCATTTTTATTCCATGCATGTCGGGGTAATATCGGCGATGAACACATTGTTATTGAGAATCAATCAGTATGCTCAAAATTTGTACTTGTATTTGTTATAAAAATAACTTTCTGTAGTACACGTTGCATTCGCATATTTATATGCTGGATTTTATTCGTCGAACGCAATTTGAAGATAGTCACAATTTTTACGACGTAAAAGACACACCCACTTTTTTTTGACAATTGCTTGTTCTCTCCTAACAAAGTTCGTATAAGAAATTAGAAATACACTCGATCGTGACTCATTAAAGTGAGAAGTTTCTCTTGTTCGCAATTTATTCTTGAATTTTTATTTTCATAAAGGAAAAAGGTAATAATCATCGAAAGGATTTTTCCAAGAAACGATTTTTGTCCTTTCTTTAATCTCTATTATCTAGTTTCGCATCTTCATTAACTTTAATCATAACTAATCAATTGTCACTTATCTATTTCGATAAACAATATCGTGCTAGACACAAACAGTAATTTTGTTCTTGTTTCGTTCTTCTGATAAAAATAGAAGAGGTAAATATAGATTTTGTAAGCTGGGTTTTATCCAACTGCGTAAGAGGCGTGTCACTATTATTTATTACTTTACTGAATAGTACAGACAGAAACAATAAAATTCCCAGCTTTATCTGTAAAAGCACTCGTTGTAACTCTACTCCAATGACTTAGTTTTGCGCATATAGCATTAAATATAGTATACAGTTACATTTTGACGGCTTATTTGTCGAAAATAGCACGATTACTACATGCAGAGTAAGACCGAAGTCATAAATTATGTTGTCTTCGGATCAAGATGTTATACTGAATTACAAACATGAAGGATAGTCAGAATTCGTAAAAGCTCTGTGCTCTAAAAGATCAGGAAGTGTCAATTCGTGAATGGTTTTGATTTGAACATATGAATGTCTAAGTGCGACATCTATGAGAAATAAAAGAGATTGTTGTCCTTGACACCAATGGACTAATGGAAATCTGTGGATGCAAACTTTTTTGAGTGTCTGATTTATTTGATCGATCAATTGTTGTTCTTTTTTTTCTCGTACTCATAAATCGATTCCAGGCGTGTTGTTAGTTTTCGATTACTATTCGATTTCTTTGAAGATTGAAAAACATACAACATGTCATCGTCGAATAATGGAACAGCTAGTGTTGAAGTACGAAGCTTTTTTTTTCTTGTATTGAACTCAAGTAATGGTTCAATTTCTAGTCACTCGCTGAGGTATTTCGTTGTTTCATCTGTATGGAAAAACTACGTGACGCACGTCTATGTCCACATTGTTCAAAGTTATGCTGTTATCCATGTATTCGAGTAAGAATTGAATGTTTTTATCTGCTGAAAATTGTTTCAATCGTGATGGTTTGATAGAGATGGCTGACAGATCAACGTCAGCAATGTCCACATTGCCGAGCACCATTGCGCTTGCATGATCTGGTGAACTGCCGATGGGCAGAAGAAGTGACCAGTCAATTGGATAGTTTGAAAGTCCATGAAATGAGTAAACAAAAACGCGAAGAAAAAGACAAGTGAGTTCAATTGTTCGGTATTATATAAATATCTTTTCATTATTATAGATGTGAAGTGCACCGAGAAAAGCTCAGTGTCTTCTGTTCTTCATGTTCGAAATGTATTTGTCATCAATGTGCATTGTTCAATGGCTCGGTAAGGATTTCGATCATAATGAAAGTATCGAAATCTTCATCTCTATTTGAAATAGCATGCGGGTCATGTCTTTGTACCGCTTGATGAAGTTTATCAAGCGAATATATCTGCAGTTAATGAGCATATTACTCAACTGAAACGACGACATGTTGAATTGATTTGTTTGATACAAGACGTGGTATGTTCGGAAAAAATTCTCGAACCAATTCATATTGTGAATGTCTTGCAAATTAGGAGCGAAATGTGGAGAGTGTAAAAGCGGCGAAAGATGAACGGTTCCGAGAAACTCGAAATGCTATGCATGTCATGCAAGCAAAGTTGGACGAACAACTTAAGATCAAATTAGATGCTTTGAATGGTACGTTATCGATAGAAACGATAAAAACGTTCGAATTTGTCGTTTTTTCTTTTCGTCTAGTTCAACGTCTTCAATTTTCACGTGAAACCGAATTAATCGAACATGTTCTTCAAGACATCGAACATCGAGTATCGACAAGTGGAAAGGCAGAAGTCATCGGTAAACAACAAGATCTGCTCAATTCGATTCAAATGATTTATCGAAAGCCAATGGCAAGTTTTGTTACAACACCTGTTCCATGTGACTTTCCAAGGTAAATGTCTCGATTCGAAAAACAACAATGAAAAACATTGTTTTACTTTCTTTTAAGTGAAATTGTTCCTCAATACGACTCAAGTACATTCGTCATCACAACTTTTTCTATTCTTCGACATAATGTCGATCCGATCTATAGTCAACCATTGCATGTCAATGGTTTAACTTGGCGTTTGAAAGTTTATCCTGATGGGAATGGTACGGTTCGTGGAACATATTTATCCGTGTTTCTTGAATTAACCAATGGCTTAAATGAGCCGTCGAAATATGAATATCGCGTCGAAATGATTCATCAATTGAGCAAAGATCCATCGAAGAATATTGTTCGAGAATTCGCATCTGATTTCGAAGTTGGAGAATGTTGGGGTTACAATCGATTTTTCCTTCTTGATGCGCTCATAAGCGAAGGTTTTTTGGATACCGAGAGTGATATATTAATCTTACGTTTCCAAGTCCGTCCGCCGACTTATCAACAAAAATGTCGTGATCAACAATGGTATATCACACATGTTGAAAATGATAATCATCATTTGCATAATGAGATCAAAATTTTACGTGAGAAAATTCATTTTCTCATGTCAACCAAACGACGCAGTTTGCCATCAACGGAAAAAAATGACAACGAGGAAATTTTCTCAACTAGTCCAATCAATGATGATAATCATCATCAACAACAACAACAAGAAGCACAGCAACAGCAACAAAAGCAGGAAGAAGAAGAGGAAGAAAATCATCATGGTGTTAAGACACACGTTGTTGACGCAACAAGAAGGGATGAACAAGCTGATGAGGAAGAAGAACAAACCGATGACGACGATGATGAACATACATCGCTAGAAGTAAGACAAAATCATTCTTGTCTGCATCCATTTCCAAAGCGTGTGTTTTAGTCTGATGCGTCATGTCCAGTCGATTCCGAAGAATTAAGTTCCGATGATGATAATGATGATGACAATGAAGACGATGAAAATGACATTGATGTTGAAAATGCGTAAGTAGGGTGCCTATCCATTCAAGCAATTTCATTTGCTTTCATAGGTTAACTGAAAATGATGTTGAAAGTGGTACAGCACGTGATATTACAACTGTTACTCTCAATAATCAATCGACGCCAAATGACCAGAATCATCATCAACATTATTCTCTCGTTGTTGCTTCACCTGCTAGTAGACTCAATGATATTGCAGCGTCTTCAGTGCCAACTACAACTCAAACAAGCGCATCGACACTTGTGAAACCTGATGGAATAGCACCGGATCCCATCACACTTAGTGTTTTGTCTGCAGATATTGACGATATTGTTCAACATGCACTTCATGTTTGGAAAAATGATACATTAGCATTAAATACTTCTAATCATTCGAATGAAATATTACCATTTACGAATAATGAAGATTTATTACTTGCAAATATTTTACAACGAACATCAACTGACCAACCGAATGCGCATTTACAACCGATGGGTATGTCAATTGGACAAATGAGTTTATTTTTCTATGCATTGAATTCCTTATTAGATAATCAAAATAATATTGCCACTTTATTCCGTCCGATAACACAAACTGATAATAATGAACTGCCAGCTGCTTCTGGTAAAGATTATCTTAATAAATAATCATATGTTAAACATTTTTCTCTTATTGAATAGCTGCCGCTATACTTCATCCATACCATCCACAGTATCAGACATCATTAAATAATCTACTATTACTTAATTCTCAAATCCAACGCTCAATATCCCCATCCGATCTAAGTCCTCCACAACGTCCTCGCAATCGTCATTATTCGCATCGTTACTCTACCATTCCTCGACGTTCCCACACATCTTCAACGGTTGCTAATGATGACCAACAAACATCTGAGCAGAATTCCAACGACGTCTAACATAGCAGCAAAATAAATCTTCTCTTGTTTTCTTTCCACTTCAATCTCAGGAGTACGATATCATCTTGCTTCCTATCTTGATATATGTGTGTTACTCTGTGATGCAACTGTTAATAGATTAGAATTAAGTTACTTCGAGCATTTTCGTATGTGTATTAATTATTTATTCTTTTTTGTCAAATAAAAAACGAAATTTTCTTTTTTTTGCTTGAATGAAATATTTCGAAATATAATCAAGGGCACGAAGTTTTACGTTCGCCTATACTCGTGAATATAGATAGCGTTCCTATTCTACGAATAAACCGTTACCTAGCAACGACCTTTTCCAGAAAATGACCCGTTCCATCACAAATCATGTTCTTGATAATAAATATTAACCTTGAAAGTCAAATGTTTAAGCATAACGAAAAACGAGTAATACATTCTATTAATGTGTGTAATAGACGTCGATTGCTATTCGTTCTTCGTTTCATTCAATAATAAACATCACCCCATTATGTGCATTTTCTTGTTTTCACCCAAGGTTGAAAATTTATTTCACTTTTGTTTGAAACAACGAATCCATGGCTCCAAAATCCACTCATTGTGTTATGCCTCTTTGGGCAACTACATGGGCGGTGATTAGTTCATTAATTTGCATTTACGACGCAACCTACGTCCTAGTTCGTCCACGAAGTATGGCGAAAGGTGACCTATTTCATATCTTCTTCCCTTATGCAAAATATATCACCGTTGATCCACTGTATGGAAATTTAAAAAATGCATTTGTTATCGGACAAAGTTGGATGAACTGTGTTGAGTTGACTCTCGCCTTACTTTCTGTCGTTCTTTATTATGTACTTCGAAAACGGAATACAGGTTGTTTTCTTCTTTTAATCGCTAGTACTATGACATGGTCAAAAACGGTTTTATACTTCATTCATGATTATTATGAACGGCCATTGCATCCACAAGATCTACCAATTAAAATTGAGACATGGGAATATTATTGTATGTTCATTTTACCAAGTTCATTGTGGGTTGTATTCCCATTTTTGTGTATGTGGAGTATTGGTGGACAAATTTTGACTATACTCAATTCAATCAATGAGAAAACCAAAACAAAATAAACTTTCTCTTGAAAAGATTATATTTTTGATTCTGATTCGATATGATTTTCTTTTCTTGTGATTTATAAATTACCATTTCGGAAAGCTATATTAAAAGATTTGACTTGAAATTTGTAACGTCTTTTATTGACCAGTAGCTCCGTCGTATGTTTATTCAGCAAAAAAAAGAAAAAATAGAGCATGATTTGCCTAACAGACATACAACGAACATTAAAGTTAAATAGACGACGCGGCGGTTGCTGCTGCACTTGGATTATGAATCATAGCTTCTCCTAACGAGTCAAGTAACTCTTTTCTGTAATCATCAAAATCTCCATCAATTTCGTTGATATTCTTATCTTCAATTACCCACAGTTGACAATTAGTTTCACGGATAAGTCGTTCATCGTGCGAGACAATAATTACACCACCTTTATACTCATTGATTGCATCAGCTAACGCATCGATCGATTCGATATCAAGATTATTAGTCGGTTCATCAAGAATTAAAAGATCTGGCTCACGCGCAATCAGATCTGATAAGGCCACACGAGCTTTTTGTCCACCAGAAAGATCTTTCATTTTGATGGTATGAGCACGACCAGGCAAGCCGACACTTCCCAAAGATTTTCGTGTATCCTGTTCAGGCATATTAAACGATCGTTTGAGATGTTCCACAGCACTTATATCCAAATCAAATTGCTCACCAGCATGTTGATCGAATCGACCAATACGCAGACGATGATTTCGACGAATTTCACCTCGAGTGGGTTCGATAACACCCATTAATAATTTTAAGAATGTACTTTTACCTAAATCAACATCAATATAGAGTCAAGTTAAAACTTACGTAGAGATGACTTACCAACACCATTGGGTCCAACAATGGCTACTCGACTCGTCATATCAACACCAAAGTTAAGTTTGTCGAAGAGTGGTGCACGATTTGCATAAGCGAATGTCATATCGTATGCACCCAAGACTGGTGGATTGAGTGGTGGTGGTGATGGAAACCGAAATCGAACTTGATAATCTTTTGGCTTTTGTAATAATTCTTTTCCGGTTGATGCATCATCGTCAACATCTTGTTTTCGACCACGGTCTTTATCTTTTTTCTTGTGTTCTTCACGTTTTCCAACTTTCGCTGTCGCTTGTTTCGATGAATGTCCTTGATCTTTCAGTGCTTTCAATGTTCGTTCTTGCTTTTCATAATCTTTCAGCTGTTGAGCTCGTGTTTGCACAAACATTTTTTTGAACAAAGAATAATTACCCTTATAATAATACAGTTTCTTATTATCTAAATGAACGATATCTGTACAGATGTTATCCAAAAACGATTGATCGTGCGAAACAACGAGCAAAGTCTTCTTCCACGATTGAAGATAATTATCCAGCCAGATAACAGCGTTCAAATCAAGATGATTTGTGGGCTCATCGAGCATTAACAATGTTGGTTCAATATAAAGAGCACGTGCAAGTGAAATACGCATACGCCAACCGCCACTGAAAGATTTCGATGGACGACTAATCATTTCAGATGTAAAACCAAGACCAGAAAGAATACGTCGTGCTTTGGGTTCAGCTGCATCGGCGTTAATTGCTTTTAGTTCATCGTAAACATGTCGTAATTTATCTTGTAGTTCAGAATCACTTGAGGTTTCCAGTTGTGCTTCAAGTTTCTTTTGCTCTTCAAGCAAACTCAATCGTTTCGTATCTGCCATGAGTAAAACATCTAATGCACATCGATCATCAGCTTGCACTTCTTGTTCACAGAGAAGAACATCGATATTCGGTGGAATTGCTAATTGTCGATTGGCAATGTGTTTTAATAATGTTGTTTTACCCATACCGTTCGGCCCGACAAGACCATATCGGCGACCATTGGAAATATGTAAATTAGCATTAACGAACAAATCATTGCCACGTGCAGAGATAGAAAAATTTTCGATTTTAATATCAATGGCAGTTTCGAAAAGTTGTGCTTGACGATTCTGCGTCGTTGCTTGAGATACGGAGAATTGCTCGGTGTCTGGAGCAGCAGCAGTCATTCTTTCAAATTCCAATTTCTTTTCTAATTTCTTCTTTTCTTTTCGCGATAATTCTTTTTCACCGGTTTTAGCAACTGGCTCGTCCTCTTGCGGTTCAACAGGAGCTTCTCCTTCTTCCACATTTTCTTCTTCCATCGGAGTTGGCTCTTCAGCAGCTGCTAATTTTTCTAATTCTTTTCTTGAAATTTTCTTCTTAGTTGTTGTTGTTGTAACTTCAGCTAAAAATAAAATCAAAGAACTCATACGATATAAAATAGACAAAAGCGAATTTCGAAAACACCGACACTACTATGTTATCGTTCGGTGCCATGAATAGACATTCTTTCGATCCCGACGTTTTCCTGCGCTCTACATAAACACGGAAAACGAAAAACTATTTCGCTTGCATTCTGTATAGCATGAAAAAGGTTAACGTTCATTTTTTATTCTACTTAAGTTCTAGACGGAAAAGTTTTGATAAAACTACATACGTGTTGGTGTTGGTTCTGGTTCAGCCACAGGTGGCTTGGGTTCTTCTTTGGCAGAAACTACTGGAGTTGGTTCTACAACATTCTCTTGTTTTTTGTTTTTAGATTTCGATTTTTTCTTCTTCGAATTATCATCGGAGTCGCTCCAGTCAATTGTTGCTGAAATTGAATGAAACTATGAAATGAGAGAATGTGGTTTCAAATAATTAAGTCAAACCTTGTGCGACTTCCTTGTTCTCAATTGATTCAATTTCAACAACAACTGGGTTTTCTTCAGGTTCATCTTTGTCCGATTCAACTGAAAATCCAAATCTTCGTACATGAAACTAGCCAATTATTCAGTTACCTTTCTTCTGTTTATTTTGCTTTTTCTTCTTCTTTTTCGATCGATCATGATCAGAATCATCTGAGAAATTGACATCGGCTACAATAGAACATAAACACTCCTAAAATAACCATTGAAATGGATTCATTTTACCTTGTTGTGCTTCTTTTTGAACAATTAGTGGTGGAGGTGGCACGTCATTGTCTTGCTCATCGTCAGATGCATCATTCTTCTTTCCACCTTTTGGTTTCTTTCGATCAGATTTCGCTTCATTATTATCTTCTTTATTCTTATTTTTTCCTTTGTTTTTCTTCTTATTGCGTTGATTATCATCGTCATCGGAATCGGCTGGAAGTGATGCTAGAAAACACCCGATATTTCCTATATTAAAATAGTGTCTTATGCAGAGTTTCTCACCTTGTTGAACAGAACTTTGATTGTCATCATCATCGTCGTCATCGTCGTTTACTTGTTTGTTGTTTTTCTTGCCTTTGTTCTTCTTATTCGCATTTTTATTTCGAGGCTTGTCGTCCTCATCGGAATTGTTTTGTGGAGCGGGTTTTTTCGTCGTCGTGGGTTCATTATCATCATCGTCATTTTCATCATTGACGAATTGCTTCTTCGAAGGAGCTGCCTTGGCAATCGGTTGTCTGTTTTTAGCTGCGCCGCCTTTTTTCTTATTATTCTTTCGTTTGGAATCATCATCCGAATCATCACTGGCTTGACCTCCGTCTAAAGCTAGATTCAGAACACCTTTTTCCATTTGTTCGAGACGTTGAAGACGTTTTGAAGACATCGATGTTAATCTAAACAATACTATAGTCTATACATCTGAATTCTCAATCATTTATATAGATATTTAGTATAATTTTGTAATAATGGTCGGATCCTATTGACTTGAGTCATTTTTCGCAATATTCTATGGATGCGCTAACATTCCATCGAACGTTTTCCTATCGTTAGAGGTCACTGGTTACCAATAGAAAGTTCTTTTTTTTCTTCTTCAATAAAATAGTACATGAAATTCGAGAGAATGATTTGGTCTTCGAGATATTTCAATGAAGAAACCATTGAACATTCAAGGTTTCAACATTAATAAAAAAATCAAAATAAATATGAATTCATGTCTGATTACCGAATAATCTCTCTTGAGTAATTTCAATATTGAAGTATCAATTGATTGATCACACATTCGTGCTCGATCTTTGAAAGTTTCCTTTTGATTCGGATATGGAAGCCGTAGTTCATTTAAATTATTGAATCGTCGATAAGAAATCTAATCAAAGTCATTTCACGTTTGACCTTCGAATAATCTTTAGCTAAGTATATGATCATATTGACGAAACACAAATAAATACCATTGTACATAACCTGAATGATAAGAACCTGATCAGAAAACTCATTCGGCGATGTCAACGTATCACATTTCTCTTGCTTGTCAACTGACTATAAGTGATTTCTATATCATTATGACAGTTCGTCGTTTGATAATCGATGATATGTCATCAAAAAGAGATAAATTTCCTGGAACATAGATTTCCACTGAGAAGTGTTGATTTCCTAATCGGCGTTCGATTTCTCCTTTCGAAAGAGCTCGACTAAGTCCACTGGACTGATTAATTTGATTAATTATAATATGTACAAGGGTATTGTTTATCAGTCTGCTCTTCGATCCACTAGACTTCATTTATCTTGTCCGAAACTTTCATTTGATCATCAATGTCTATGATAATTAGAATAGACACGTTATGCTTTTAGTGAATCTTCACTAATTAACAGAAGGATAGTCTGTCGATGGAGCAGCATTCTTCTCGTCGAGCTCGAAAGTGATAGCTCTTGTACTGTATCGAAATGCACTAAAGAGACACAAGTGATCGTGAGAAGAATTCATTGTTTGAACATATCACATCGAAGTATTTGATTAGAAGAAAGAATGATTAGCAAATGGTTCTTGTGAAAAAANNNATACTGTTCGGTTCATTGCACAGACATATTGATAGAGACTAATTGAAATGAACAAATAATGTAACCTGCCTTCTTGTTGTTCTCTGCCTGCAGCCGTCTAATGACAGGCAATCAATATACTGTAGTACTTAGTAGTTGAGTAGATTTATGTAATATGAATGAACGAATGAGCGACTAAAATGTAAGAATGGGATGATGATGATGATGATGATGATGATGACAAGAGTGATTGATAAATTGCTCGACAGATCGATGGAATATTGTATATTTATATTTTCCTTCTAGACGTCTTAACGGCAATAAATTAAATCACCTTACTGATGGCACATTTGCCTCCCTCAAACAACTTCAGCGATTGTATGCTAATGACGACAAAAAAGAAACAGATTGATTTGTGTATTTTTCACATGTTTGTAGGGATCTTAGTTCTAATCGACTACGAGCGATTAAAAAAGAAACATTGCAAGGTCTTCAAGAAATTGATAATCTGTAAGTGTAAAACTTGTTCGTTTCCACCAGTCGCACTTCCGTTTTTTTTTGTTCCGCATAGACAATTGGATCACAATGAGATCAGTTGTATCGAAGCAGAAGCCATCAATGGATTCAATCGATTGGAGATTGTGTAAGTTATATCCGGAGATGTTAGATGATCTCTACTATCAATGTAGTTGTCTAGATTTGCTAATAATAATACAGTTTTTTTAATGCTAATTAACTAGGATTTGCATGACAGTGTGTGCTATAGAAGATTTTTTGTTCTAGTACATTAAATTTCAACAATTTAACAACTCTACCTATCTTACCGCTTGCACGACTTATCGATTTAAGGGTTTTGTAAGTATTCGTTGAACAATCGTAACTTACATAATGCATGTGCATGAAAAATTTTCTGTATTCACTCTTTGATTTTATAAAACTTCATCGATTTGTTTTCTTTCACATAGACGACTTCATGACAATCAATTTGTATGCGATTGTCGTCTTCTCTGGCTTGCTAAATATCTCAAATTACATCCGTTCCTTGGCCTCAATGCTCGATGTCAAGACTCGAATACTCTCACTTCTAGAGACATAACATCGCTAATCGATGACGAAAAGCAATGCAATAGCATGGGTATGATTGAAATCAGAAGACATTAGAAATGATCATTCATGTGTGTGTTTTTCTCGTAAATAGATATCGATGATATCGATTATACATGCAATGTACCTGTATGCCCATATCCGTGTACATGTTTTAATGGTGTTGTTGATTGTAAAGATAAAGATCTTACTGAAATCCCGAGAAATATACCAGATACAACGATTGAATTGTAAGATGAACTTGTTTTTTCTCGACTATTCGAAGGAAATGTTGATTTCAATGTAGACGTTTGGAAAAGAATCAAATCACGGAAGTTCCACCGAAGATGTTCTCTCATTTGAAGAAACTTCGACGTTTGTAAGAAAGATTTCATCTGAGCTTGACATTTTACTCAAATTTCTACGTTTGTTTTAGAGACATAAGTAATAATATAATTGCAACGATCTATCCAGATTCATTTGCCGGTCTCAAATCCCTTAATTCACTGTACGTATCGTCTTTCATCTTCGATTGTCTTTCATCTCTCGAAAACACAAACAATGAGAACAAATCTTCTTTAGTATTCTCTATCGAAATAATCTCAAAATGTTGCCATCTGAAGTGTTCAGTGAATTGAACTCTTTACAGCTTTTGTGAGTGATTGAGATTGATCGAGAAGCAAAGGCATGTTAGTTTATACTCACTAATGCATACATACACTTTTGCTCTGATACATGGTGACGGTGAAAAGCATCCTACCACGCATGAAGATTCATTTGTCATGCCGAGAAATGATCTGTTCAAATTTTTCTCTCTTCAACCTTTCACATACTCACTTGCATGATTTATATATTCTTATTTATTGGTTATGGATATAGTATACTTTCAAACAATCAGCTTGTGCATTTACCATTTGGTGTATTTCATCATGAATTCACGCATCTGCAACTCTTGTGAGTATGCCTAGCTTAGAATGCTTGTTTTTGTATGTAACATTGATTTTCAAACGAGATTCGATTGTTGAGCGACGAATTCCATTGACATTTGCGTTCTCTATTTCGTATACAGATTACTTAATGCAAACAAAATAGTATGTGTACGCGGAGATACATTTCGTGGACTGGAAAAACTCAGTTTACTGTCATTATATGATAATCAATTGAAAACACTATCGAACGAAACATTTTTACCTTTGAAAAGTATTCAAACATTGTAAGTTCGGTCATGTCGTTTATATTTTGATGATGATGTTGTTCTTCAAGACATTTGGCTCGTAATCCATTTATATGCGATTGTCATCTTCGTTGGTTAAATGCTTATTTACGCGAGAAACAAATCGAAACAAGCGGTGTTCGATGTGCCGGACCACGACGCATGGCAAAACGAAAATTCGGCGTCCTAAACGATCGAAGATTTCGTTGTCGAAGTTTGTCTTCTAACTTTCCTTCTTCATATCGATCACATCAAACAAATTCTTTAGATCGAATGGAATTCGAGCAAACCGCATATAGCGCTCAATGCGGTGTTCAGTGTCCTAAAGGTTGTACATGCGATGGAACAGCTGTTAGCTGTCGTGGGCTACAATTGCAAGAAATACCAAGCGATATACCACCATTCACAACAGCACTGTACGTGAAATTGTTTGGAATCGTTTTGATAGTATTGAGAAGTTGTGTTTCTAGTCATCTACAAGATAATTTAATCAAACGAGTCCCACGTGATGGCAGTTTTCGTCGGCTACGAAGTCTCCGTACACTGTATGTGATGGAAAATTTGTGTTTTATCTGCGATTAATTGTTTATTTTTAGCGATTTACGTAACAATCGTTTGGAAGAAATCGATGATGATGCTTTCGATGGAGCTGAATCGCTCAATGAACTGTAAGAAATCTAGTTTTTGATGTTTTTCGAAATTACATACAAGATTCGCTGTCTTCTAGATATTTAAGTGATAATAATCTAAATTCAATAACATCGAATACTTTCAATGGTTTGAAAAATATTCAGACACTGATGTTACGTACAAATAAGTTAACGTATATAAAAAATGATACATTTGTGGATTTGGAGACATTGAAAACATTGTCATTGCATGATAATCGTATTAAATGCATTGCACCTGGATCATTCGATCGATTACGATCTCTGTCAGCATTGTAAGAATGAATATACGAAAGAAATTCTATGATTACGATTCATTTGCACAGGGATCTTCTATCCAATCCATTCGTATGTAATTGCCATATGAAATGGTTGAAAGGCTGGTTAAAACAAAGTAATATTGTTACGGATTATCCAAAGTATGTGTCGTCACATCGTTACGATCATATACAAGTCTCTTGATTATATTTAGATGTATGTCACCAACCAAACTGCGGAATATTGCAGTAAGTCTCATCTAAAAGTTGAAGACGTTCACCTTCGTAATAATTTTCTTTTTGTTCAGATTGTCAATCTAACGGACGATGAGTTCGTTTGCAGTTGTAAGTCACTTTAAAATAAAATCTTGCTTTCAAAGAAAGATGATCATCATCTTCTTATTTAGCTACTGAAGTCGACGCATGCGATGTATCTTATCCAAGTTCTTGTCCACAGAACTGCTCGTGCTACAATCGTGTTGTCCGTTGTTCGCATGCTCAATTAACATCGATACCATATGAACAGATGCCCATCGATACTGAAGAATTGTACTTAGATGCCAATGATATCAAAGAAATTCCATCGGAATTGACTAATCGTTTGGTTTATTTGATCAGAATTGATCTGAGTTACAACAAATTACGTGTCATATCAGGCAATATATTTGCAAATTTGACACGATTGGAGACATTGATTCTGTCGTACAATAAAATTCGTTGTCTGGAATCTGCATCATTCAAAGGATTGAAAAACCTACGAATTTTGTACGTATTTGTGAAAAAAAAATGTTTATTAAAATGAAAACATTGTTGTAGGTCATTACATGGAAATGAGATTTCAACAATCCCAGAAGGTTCATTCAATGATCTGACATCGTTATCACATGTGTAAGTCAACGTGAATGACAGATTCTTTTTCTTTTACGACGCAGATTGATTTGTTTTGTTAGTGCACTGGGTGGAAATCCTCTCTATTGTGATTGCCATCTCGGATGGTTATCATCCTGGATAAAAACTGATTACGTCGAACCAGGTAAGACTTCTCTCGTTACAAAATCATGCGTCGGTTGCATACATATCCTTGAACCATTAAAGGGATGATTAGGTCATTCGTATCTTAGAATTAAACAGTCATTTTCATACTCCATGTTGAGTGCCTTAATAAATAACAAACTTGTGCATATAAGTAGTTGTGTAATCGCATTTGATAGATAATAAATCCGTTCGGTAATTGTTTTCGTAAAACTATATCTTCATTAAATAGGCATTGCTCGATGCACTGGACCACCTCCGATGGCGAATAAACTTCTTCTTACGTCTCCGATATTTTTCTTTCAATGTCACAGTATGTCACTGATTATCTCTTCTCTGATTTGATTACGTCATTATGAAAAACAATCGTTTAGATGAAAGTGAATCTCGACATCATCGAGGAAAATGCGATCCTTGTTTAGCGGAGGAGAATCGTTGTTTGAATAATGGATCATGTCGTGCATTGTCAACCGAAAAGTTCGTATGTGATTGTTTACCAGCATTTCATGGCGATCGATGTGAGAAAGTCATCGATGCTTGTTTTGATAATCCATGCAAATCGGATGGACGATGTCAAGCGCTGCCCGATGGTCGATTCAAATGTCACTGTCCCGTTGGTTTTACTGGATATCGATGTGAGATCAATATAGATGATTGCATATCCCATCGATGTCAAAATAATGCAACATGTATCGATAGAATCAATGATTATTCATGTGATTGTGCACCGTTGTTTACTGGTAAATAAAAAAACAGAAATTTTGAGAAAAAAATACCATTGGAAATTCTTCTAGGAAAATATTGCGAGATGCGATTAAATTGGTGCGAAAGAGATTTAAATCCATGTCGAAATAATGGACGATGCCTGCGAACGAGTCATGGTTATAGGTAAGATGATCAGTAACAATTAATCGATTTCAATCATAGCCTGCGATTTAGATGCGAATGTTCATCAGGTTGGAGCGGTATGAATTGTACGGATAATCTGAATGACTGTTCAAATCATGCATGTCAATTTGGTGTATGCATTGACGGTGCCAATGGTTACACTTGCAGATGTGATGTCGGATTTAGTGGTAAACATTGTGAGATAGCGCCGCAATCCAAGTCATTATTTCTGAGCAATATCAATCAAACGAAAGCAACACGATGTACAGCTGATGTTTGTTCAAACAATGGCGTTTGCTATGAAGAATCTGTGAACAACCTTCGATGCCGTTGCTATCCAGGTTTTATCGGTGATCGGTGTGTTATGCTGAAAAGTGTTCATTCAATCACCAATGATTCATATATGAGATTACCTAAACCGAATGTTTATCCACGTTCGAATATTACTATTGTATTTAGCACAACACATAGTAGCGGAGTTCTCGTTTACTTCGGACATTTGGGACATATGGTTGCAGAGATTTTCATGGGAAGAATACGTGTTAGTTACGATGTCGGCAATTCACCAGGTTCGGTTATGTTTAGCTATGATACAGTCAATGATGGTAAGTTAATTCTGAAGAAGATCTTGTCTTTCTTTTACAAACTGTACACTGTATGTTATTCTAGGTAAAATCCATGAACTACAATTGATTAGCGTGGGACAAAATTTTAGTTTGACTGTCGATCGAGGTTACACACGACACATTAACAATCGTGGTCAACGTGCCTATCTAAATACAAGCGAAATTCGTGCTTTGTACATCGCCGGTATACCAAATGATATGACCGCGCGAGCTCTACAATTATGGCATATTCGAGAGGCGACATCATTTCAAGGTATAAGAAAGATCATTTTTCAAAACAGAAGCAATTTTCATACTCGTTTCCTTTCAAAGGTTGCATTCATGCACTTTACGTCAACGATGATCCAGTCAATTTCGCAAACGTTGATTATCGTCATAAGATCTTGCCTGGTTGTGAAAATAATGAGCACGATCAATCAACATGTACTACAGCCACATGTCAACATGGTCAATGCCGTTTAGAAAATTTCAATTATAAATGTGTTTGTCATAATGGATATACAGGTTCAACATGCAATCAACGTAAATGAACGTTTTTTTGTCTTTTTTTATTATGCAAAGTTTCTTTTGTAGCAATATCAACGTCAATGTCATTAAAATTCACACACTCATGTGGTTTAAGTATTGAAACAGGATATTTTATTGATCCATTGACCAAATGTACAAGTAATCGGCGTTTGCGTATGTCCAAATGTACAGGTATATGTTCATCATCAGCAAATGGGACACAATCTACATGTTGTAAACCAGTTGAGCCCAAGCGTCGATTCTTTCGAATGACATGTGCGAATGGATTCACCTATCGACAGTCATTGGATTTCTTCAAGCAATGTACTTGTTCGAGTACAGCGTGTTGAAGGCTAGATTTATGTATCAAAGCAACTCAGGTCTATTGTATATATAGAGCAAGAAAAATGGAAACAACAACAAAAAAAATATGGAACTCTTTGCTTCGTTTTCTTTTTTGTTTCTGATCTTGTCGCTTATATGTGTGTTTATCGTATTTTCAGCTTTTTCCTCGTCACCCAGTTTGAACTTCTTTTTTCTTTTACTTGCTAATCCTTCTTTGGATATTTTTGTAAGTCAAGTGTCTTTGTTCGCATTTGGTCTTGTTAAAAATACGTCGTGCGTGGGGAGAGACGTTTCTTTTGTCATCATTCATGTTCATATGTATTTTTTAAGAAGAGAATTCGCTTGGTAAGATAAGTTTTAGAGCTTTTTGCGAACTAGTATTCATCCAAATTCATGAATTTATGAGAAAAAAATAAAATTCATTAAGCTTATCTCAGCAGTATTGGAATTCAATTTTTTACGCGAGCCTCACCATATGATTACGAATACTGTTATAAAAAAGAAATGACTAAAAGCTTATAGATTGTATTTCGTCAAAGGATATAATATGTTCATTTAAGTTTTGTTTTTCAACACTTTCATGTTGTCTTCCATCTCGATATTTCTTCAGAACATTCAAATAGAATGGTTTAAAAAGTAGCTTGTACGAGAGAAAGATAAGACCAAATAATTCTAAACATACAGTAATGAATAATAAGTTTTGAAAGACAATTTCCGATGGTTTGGCAATTGGTTGTTGTAAATTTTTCACGTAATATGGTGTTTCGGTAATCACTAATGTTAATGTTGTTAAAGTCAATGTTGAACGGATGAATTGATCCTCGGTAAAAAACAAACTGTTGTAATCAACTGTAAATGTTGGAATGTAAATCCCACTGAAAATCGGATCTCCTCCGTCAATCGCTAAGGTTTCATTGATCACTTTAGTTAACGCAAGCGCGATCGGTAGGTTCCTCGCAAGAATATTTCCATTTTTATGAAACGGCTGATAGAATTTCAGTTGTTTTAATGCATAATTCTCGCTTGATTGCTCTTGCCCGAAAAGACCGACTCGTATCGCTCCTATCGTTCGAACATCGGCGATGTAGATCTGCACAGAAATATGTTGGTAAGGAAGTGGTATCGATAAAGTTAAAGTATAGTTTATATTATCACAATTTAACCATCGAATTGTCGACCAGGTGATCCCAAAAAGGACCTCGATAGAAACCGCGTCACATTTGATTATTGTATTGACAAAATCAACTTTGAGAATAAATTCTTGATTATTCAGTAGATCGAACATTTTCTGATCAGCATCAGTCAATGGAATGGCTAATGATTGAACACTCGTTTCGAATTTTGCATTTCGGATGGATAAGTCACAAGCAAAGTGAGAATCAGATGAGGTTTCGATAGGATATTGTTTGACATAATTTTGACTAAAGATGCAAGCAAATATGACTAGAACAATAACAGAAAATGAAGCTAAGCCACCGACCCATAGTTCGCCTTCACCAATCAGATCTGTGTGCCGAAAAATACATTTCAGTAATGAACGAACTCGTTCTCCGCGAGGATCTTTAGTGAAAAATTTCAAAATACCCATTATAAGAATGACCAGAACTGCGAGGCCGGCGACAACTAATGTCCAGAAGAGAGGTGAAATTTGTAGGCAACGACCAGATCCGATACTGAACATATTTTGAATGAGAATTTCATCGAAAATGACACTTTCCGGTGATTTAGGGTACGGAATTGCTTGATTCACAGTCTGTAGCGCTGTTTGTGATACTTCATTGGCGGATGCAAGTGGGCAAAAGGTATTCGGTGAACATGGGATACAGAATGTTGAAACATTTCCTGGGTTTCTCGTACCAGCTGGACAGAGAGTACAATCGTGGATACCGGATTGATTTTTATATGTTCCAGGTAAACATGGCTGTGCCGTAGTCACTAATGGCATGGTACCCGTGTCTTGTATCGTTAAATAGAAGCCTGGTAACGTTGGAAGAAATATGATAATACGCCCTCGATTATCAAGCAAAGCCAAGGACGATGGCGATGAGACAATATTTAGAAACACTGGATCGATAGTTGACGGTAATTTTTGATGGTTATTTGGGAATACTGAAAGCGGAGTACTATTTGAATTGTAACCACTTGATTGAATATCATATATATGAACTTGCGATGTTGTCCAGACATAATCTAATGTATAAATATTGACTATTAATGCAGCAATACCATTTTGTAACCAAGCAATACTCTTTCCATTGCCCAATGTTCGTCCATTTGTATGTCGACTGACAAAATTCAATTTCGTCGACTTAGTGAGATTTACTGAGAATAAAAATACACGGTTGATAAACTGCATACCAACCAAAACATCTCCATAGTCATTAATGCTCACAGACATATCATATTTGGCAGAATAATAATTTGCATCAGCATTCGTTAATAGATCTTGCCATGTGCCTGGTGTTGCTACTGGTTTATATTGATTGACTACGATTGGACAATTATTCGACTGATTATAATTAATTAGATATATCATTGGACTATATTTAACGGTTGAATTTCGACCTTCGTTGATAAATCCCGAAATCACACCGAAACTCTGATGAATATCGACAGCATGAGGGATGAACGAAGTATCTGGCCATGTTATACTTGCATTCCAAATATCGATTCTCGACGTATTTCGTGAATCAAATAGAAATATAAACTCATTCGAGAATCCATAAACATATCGTCCAGATGGTTCGACACCAAGTATAAGATATTCTTGATGTCCATAATTACTAATCAGTTGATAATGGTATGCAAAACTTGTACTACATCTCAACGACGAGTTTCCATTAGAAGATTTGGTGGCATTCGTTCGAGTATATATTACCGTACCAACAATGATTGCACTGTGATTATTTGTAAATTCACCGGCGAAATAGAACTGAGTGTGATTTTTAGGTTGACTTTTGCCAGCAACAACTGTGTATATGAAACTGTTTGTCAGATTTACGTGAGAAGTAGTACACTGAAGTGGTGTTTGCGTGTCGTTATAAGGAGCAAACTGTATGAGAAAAGTAGGAGGATCATTTTTATTTTGAGCTAGAACAAGGAAGTCTTCATTCATTGCTATTTTAACACCGTAGGCATTATAATCAGTTCGATCAGGATTGAAAGCACCATTGGCATGGAGTTTTGCCAAGATCAAAATTAAAGTTAAAGCAGCGTAAAGTGATTTATTCATTTAGTTATTATTCATGTCAGCATAAATCTGTATTCCTCTTACATATAATTTTTTGCCAAAAATGATAAGAGAATCCTTACTTGTATTCAACAAATGAATGTAGATTCGAAAATTTCATGTCGTATCAACAGACAAACATCTGTTCCACAAAGAAGATCGATCAATGTTTTATTTACCTTTTTATACATTCTTATACAATCAACCAGCGAAAATACAATGCCTAATGAGAAAATCATTTCGTCATTATACAACGGTTAGTTTTCCTTGATTAGCGAATGAAGTACGGTTTGCAATGTTAAATAGTCTTGTTGAAGTCTATTCAAGAAACAATTCCTTTTCGCTAATGATCAATATCCGAAGTCAATTTTAAAGTACTGATGATAAACTGATATAGTCTTTGTATGAAATGTTCGTTGAAGTCAAATGGGTTGTAAATAAGAGCGAAATAAGAAAGAATTTGATTTGTGATATATAACATCGTTGAATGTAATTAACGAGATCGAGTTTTTGAATGTTTACAAAAAGCGACTGATGTTGATATGAAGGTTCGTTTGAGTGAACGATATTTACTTTGGCTTATCATGCCTACATCGACTGCTTTGCCTAATGAAATTCTCAATTTTTGTAACGTTTACCAGTGAAAGACAAATATTTTCAGCTATGTTAGCTTTTCATTAAGATAGGAAAGTAAATGACTTCATACAAAAAAGAACTTTCTCACAATCTTTTCAGCGGTGTGAACTGTGTAACCTGTTTTGGTATAAAACAGTTTGTAATATCAATAGTGTCTTTCTTTGGAAAGCTCGATAATAGGTGTTTGCACGTATACAGTGAGTGAAACGTATCCGAGCACCGTTTTCTACGAAAGTAGCTTCAAGAGATTGTTGGCATTAAAATACTGAATGTAGCAAATTCAGACAAGATTGGTCATTGTTTAGGATAATCGGTTCGAAGCCGTTCTTTGTAAGATACAGCCAACATAAAAAAAAGAATTCTATTTATGCCAAGTGAGTATTTATCGAACATTGTCATGTTTCACACGAACTTTTGAAATAGTATATATTCTCAATTATTATTGTAGAATAGAAAAATCCTAAACAGGTTTTGGTCGATATCAAACAGAAACAAATGAAAGCGTTTGTCACTATTTGATCTCACTTGTGATTACTCGACGAACATATGTCACAGTTGACATGAGAATCTAGTTGAGTTTGGAATGCACGAAGAAAAATAGAAGAGAAAATAAAATAGAAAAAAAATTATCTATCTTGAGGGCGTGGGTGAAAATTTTTTATGATTGGAATCAATAGAGCTTGTCGAGTTTGATCTGGAAAACAGTGTTAAAATCGCGGCTGGCGGTTGTGAAACGAATCCGCCGCGGTTTTTCTGGGTGTTTTTCAGGTTTTTTTGAGTTTTGAGGGTGAAGAAAGAGTTTTTTTGGAAATTTTATTTTTGGAACCGATAGAGCTCATCAAGTTGTACTTGGAACCAGTGTTGGTTTGATTGGAACCTACGCTGAAACGAATCCGCTCAAGAAAATGTCGAATCCTGCCCGAAGGTATTTTACGTCCGTTTTCACAGAATTCTCGACGATCTTCCGATTTTTCAAAATATGTTCGTAGACTTTTATAGATTCTATTTATTCCTCTTTCAAACGTAAAACAAATATAGATTTATATATTATTTTGATATTTATGTACATTCCAATCACAACTAAATTCTCTAACCAACTCACTTCACAAAAACCTTGTTCTAGACAATCCAAGTTAATAACTCAATCAAATTATCGAATAATGCGCGGTCTGATGTATAATATCACAAGTATCCGTAACATCCTCAAGTTATTTCTATTCACTACACTCTCAATAATCATTCTTGGTCTTGTTGGATCTGGCTACCGAATTTTCAGCTCTCAAGAAAAAGAGACATCTTTAGAACTGTCTCCCAACGTCATCGTTGTCGATCCCGACGATCCAACTCTCAACAGAAACTTTACATGTATTACCACACAAATATTAATGAATGTGTTTCAAACTAGTCTTTGTCTCCATTCAAAACATGATACAGTTAGTAAATCAGTTGCGGAGCGACGGGTTTGGGAAGAAAATGATGTTTCACGACTACTAAACATTCTTGTTCGTAATCCTGAAATGCAAATGATTGATATTGGAGCTAATATAGGTGGATTTACCATGTTTATAGCAGGTGCACTCGGACGTTTTACATTAGCGATTGAATGTTATCTGCCAAGTATTGAACGAATCGCACGTGCGGTGCAACTTCGAAACGCACAAAAAAATGTTGTTCTCGTTCAAAATGCTCTCTATTCAAGTCCAGGCAAATATTTAACGATAACAACTGATGATCCGAGTGGTATAAGATTACAAGAGGGAACGACAGAGAAAGAGTCGAAAAATGAATTCGTTGTCAAAACGATCAAGTTCGATGACTTACTTCCGATACTGATTCAACGAAAAGTGAAAACAGCCATGATTAAAATCGATATCGAAACATCTGAAAGCTATATATGTGCCACAGGTGCAAAAATATTCGATCAGATTAATATTCCGTATATTATGATGGAATGGCATTCTTGGCGCGTTAAACATCAGCAACGATATCAGTACATAGTAGATTTTATGACTGCTCGAGGCTATATTCCCGTTGATGCGAGTTGTAAAGAACTTAATCCAAACGATTGGCTCAATCTATCATGGCCAGGCAATATTTTTTGGATTAAAAAATCATATCCTAGAAACCTTCTTTGTTGACGATTTAGAATTGTACTTGGCACGCAGAGATTATATGTTTAAAAGGGTCTGTTTTATTGTGAATAAAAGTCAATAGAAACGAATCAGTCAATCGTGCATCTTGTTCATCAATAGTGTATGATTGATGGAACAATGAATACAGCTATTTCATACAACATTTTTGCAAACCAGTGTATTCCTTCACCTTCTTCCGATCCCTTCCACGACATTCCGAATAAACGATACCACCATCGCATCGGCGCCACTGCAGCATGAGCAACATGATGACTATTGATCGTTGCATAACACGAACTGGCGATGTTGTTCACTATCAGTGTACCTTCTGCAGTCAGTGGAGCAACGTATCCTTGTTTCACAACATCTGTTATATTTGTTATTGTTTCACTCATCAGCACACCTTCATCATTCATGACATAGATGTCCATGCCAATGCGAAGATTCTTGGCCATGACATAGGTTTGTTCACTAGTTGGAAGAAGATGAGATGAAGTGAGTGATAGTTGTCGACCAGAGAGAGTTGTGAGCTGCTTGAATAAGGCTGAAAGAGGTGAGCACGATTGAATGATGAGGATGAGGTATAGGAGAAAAGAAGTAGCCTACCGAACCGGTGTAGTTGGAAATCGAGCATGGTGATGAGGTGGGTGTGGATGAGTTGTTTTGTTCTATCGTCGTAGGCGAGAATTGTGTCACCTGATTGTAGTTGTGTAATGGACTTGTGTTGTCCATTGGGCAAGGTGACAAGAGAGTCGGCTGCAAAACAACGTTGATCTTTCAATGTCGAGTCTGAAAGCGAAGTACGAAAATCGATCAGTCAGAATACTTGTTTGTGACAAACCTCGAATAGAACAGTTTGCACTGTTGCGATCTGGACAACAATTCAGTGCCAAATGCTTAATTTCATTAAATGCGGCAATGCCTAGCTATAACATGAAAATGTTCAATTCGTAATCATATCTGCCAAAGAAATTTTCAACTTGGCAAACCTGTTGTCCAACACATTCTGAGAGATGACCTTGAGCACACTGTGCTATCAACGAAGTGGATCGACATACTCTACTGATATCTAAAACAGCACAGGATTTTCTCTTCTACATAAATTTCTGTTCAAACCGTTCTTGGCAAATCCGAGCAACATCGTGCTGAGATGAGATAGACATTCAATTAATTCCAACGGATCATCTGTAAGGTCGCACCTGGCATTGACCATGAGAACAAGACCACCAACGATAAATAGAATTTTGAATAACATCTATGTCAATGTATGCCACTCATTTATGCAAAATATTTTATGTTGTGTTAGTTAACTCACCATAATGAATAGGAGCAGTCAGATGACGAGGAAGACGACTTTGCACACAACAAGACCTGAAAGAAAATGAATATATAAATGTTGTTCGCCTTTCCTATATCATGTCGCTTGTTAGTGATAAAATCGGGCTGAAATTACAAACCGTTTTCTCAAGTGGACAAGTCAAAATATTCATCTATAGATGTTTTTCTTTCGTTAGATTCAAAACAAATACCTGAGAATTCCGAAAACTTTCCCCATGTGACGAAAAATACGCTTCCTTTATTTTATGAAATCCGATACCAGAATTGTCTGTGTCCAAATCAAGTGTACACAGTTGAATCACGAAATGTCTTTACTCTGATACAGATTAGAGCAAACGTCGAATAGAGCTGGCATCTCAAAAAAAGCAATATATTTCTCATTGTATAAGCAAATTTCATTAGTTTCGTTTCGTTCTTTCAATAAATTAGTCATCAAGTATCAGTTCGTATCAATGTGTATAGAGGCAAAATACAAAATGAAAAAAAGAAAAAGAAATGTTCATCAATAGTGTATGATTGATGGAACAATGAATACAGCTATTTCATACAACATCTTTGCAAACCAGTGTATTCCTTCACCTTCTTTCGATCCCTTCCACGACATTCCGAATAAACGATACCACCATCGCATCGGCGCCACTGCAGCATGAGCAACATGATGACTGTTGATTGTTGCATAACACGAACTGGCGATGTTGTTCACTATCAGTGTACCTTCTGCAGTCAGTGGAGCAACGTATCCTTGTTTCACAACATCTGTTATATTCGTTATTGTTTCACTCATCAGCACACCTTCGTCATTCATGACATAGATGTTCATGCCAATGCGAAGATTCTTGGCCATGACATAGGTTTGCTCACTGGTTGGAAGAAGATGAGATGAAGTGAGTGATAGTTGTCGACCAGAGAAAGTTGTGAGCTGCTTGAATAAGGCTGAAAGAGGTGAGCACGACTGAAGGATGAGGATGAAGTGTAGGAGAAAAGAAGTGACCTACCGAACCGATGTAGCTGGAAATCGAGCATGGTGATGAGATGTGTGTGGATGAGTTGTTTTGTTTTATCGTCGTAGGCGAGAATTGTGTCACCTGATTGTAGTTGTGTAATGGACTTGTGCTGACCATTGGGCAAGGTGACAAGAGAGTCAGCTGCAAAACAACGCTGTTCGTTTATTATTGAATCTATTCGATACACAAAAAAATGTAATGATAGATTGCTACTGGAGAGATTTCCGAAGCAAACCTCTAATAGGACATCGCGGACGGTTTCTATCTGGACAGCAGTTATCGGCTAAATCTCTAATTTCGTCAAGCGCTTTTCTGCCAACCTATACAAGCATCTACACATACTAATACAGTTAACTCTTAAAATGTTCAATTACTTCTGCTGCGACACAATCGCCCAATTCCCGTCTTGCACATATAGCAATATCAGACGCAATCGAACAAATTATTTTCAAATCTATAAAAAACGATGAGAAAAAGTTCAACATGACATTTCACTCACCTTTCGTTACAGCTCCATAAAGACCCGACGTTATGTAACGTAAACACTCAATCACAGCTTTGGGATTTTGACTCATTGGACAGTCCGCCTGCGTTGTGGCGGTAAACACAGCAAGTATGAACATAAGCTTCCAAAACATCTAAGAAAATATACATCTAATTTTGTGCCAAGTGACTTTTCTCAACTACTCCCTCACCATCATAAATGTTAGTAACAAGGCTAAATCTCGCACTGAATATGTTCCAACGACCAATGAATAAAAACAAATGTGATTTGACTTTTTTTTATACAATCATATATATATATATATCGGATGTTATATTTTAATCAATTATAAAAACGAATCAAGTTACAAATCTTTGTTTTCTCATCTCACTGCTGACAAGAAGACGTATCCGATTTTTTTGTTTCTCTTCAGTGGATGACAACAAATCGATATCGAAAACTCGATCGAATTTCTGTATGACAAAGAGAAAAAATGCTGTATCTATGCAAATAACATGTAGGTGGTAAAGTTTTCTTCTGATTAATGCTATTTGACTTCACCCTCAGTCAAAAATCAAATAGTTTTCGTCATGTTCGTCCATTCTTATATTAATAGTTAAACCGACATTTGAACATAGAAAGTGTTTTCGTTCGCATTGAAAAAAAAACTAAATATTCTCGTTTACAAAAATCAATCAACGGCAATTTTCCATAAATGCGTCTATTGTGAAGATAGAAATAAAATATCAAAAATAAACCTAAACGAAAAAAAAAACAATTAAAGCTTGGGGAACCTTTCTCCTCGACATTTATTCAACCTTTTGAACATTTTTATCAAAGTGTGTGATCGATTGTTGAGAGGCACGATAGTGTAAGTAAAGAATGCCGATGCTAAATAATGCCGACAGTAGGAAGATGCAATCGAACCATCGATGATAGAAATTGAATTGCAAATCACCTAACACTTGGGTTATGATTTGTCGATATTGTTCTGGCATGTTCATTCGAATCAGAAGTACGGAAGATATGAAATACATACCCTAAAAGACAACAATCGATCGTATGAAATCCGTTTTGTGCTTACTAAAATTTCTTTACCATGAGTAGGGCAAGACATAGGACGATAACATTAGACGAACGACTACTTGATATTATGTAGAAGAACTAGAAGATCAAAACGAGAATGATGAGAAAGAAATGGACGAATGTGTTGGTCAACCTTGGTTAATGTGATTAGTAAACCGCGAATACTTGTCACAACAATGATACCGATCAGTATGAATGAGACATATTGAGACCAGAATTGGACATCAAATTGTAGATCGAAATAATGCACTGTTAATTCAATACCCCGTGTCACTGGATCGACTAAATTTTGAAAAAATTCATTTGATTTTATCGAAACCGAAATACATTCGACTGACCTTTTCCTACTCGATTGAAAACGATATTGATGAACGAAATCAGGATCTTCCAAACGCAATATAATGAAAAGAAATGCCCTAAGACATGAAAGTATTTGCCTTTCAATGTCTTTGAATATCCAATTCGTTGTTGAATTCCTTGTAGATCCACTAGATCACTATACAATTCGGAGGAGATGACTTCATATGTGGCAATCTCTTGTTTAATCAACGAGAGATTGTAGGACATGTTTGAATTCGGTTGTGATGTAAAACTTAAGTTTAACGCTCGACGAAACGGGTTCCATCGATTGTTCATTGAATTGAACGACGAATTATAGGTTGATTTTAAAGAATTTTCATATTCGATATAGGCAACACGTTTCTTTTTTGTAGCGACAATTTCCATGACTTGTTTTAAACGCTTTTGAGCATCACTGATATCCTTATCAGTAACAGGCTACAAAATATCAATGACACTTACATTCAACAAGCACTCCAATCTCAACAACTCTTATTTTGCTTAGACAATGGCACAACGACATTTCCTCCGTAGGTGTATATCATCTGACTAGCACAAATCTTCCTCCTCGCATAGGCAGACTGATTTCGAGAATACTTTAACCAAACATTCTTTCACTTACTCGAATAAAATACGTCATGTATGTGTAAGGACAATTGACAGCTAAAAAAAGAACATGATGTATGGACTTTGATGGACATGGAATCTTTCGTTTACCACCAAATCCACTTAGAATTGCCATAGCGGTAACACCAATGATACCCACTCGACTGATACACTGTTCAATACTGAAGAATTCATGTCGATTAGAGATCGGAAATGGATTGCCTAGTTTCCAGAATATATACAAATAAAAACACCACGCAATTAATGTAAAAAATATGACCAGACGAAAGTCTCGAACTACAAGACAAGAAACAAATAAGAAATTTCATCGTACAAAAAACATCTACTAACCGAGTTTAACCGAATTCAATAATAGATAGGCGATATAGAATGGAATGAGGAATACAAGTAAAAAGAGCATACAGTAAAGGCCAATACGCCAATGAAGATATCGAGATCTAATCAGAAAGCATTTATTAGGGCAATTAAGATAAAATTTTAACATACGTAGGTTGGAGGAAAGCAAGAATTTCAAAGATGATCAATTCAAACATTGTACAACTCAGTGCAAATGTTAAGGCGAATGATAGAATGACTACACGATTTCGTACATCATAGTTTTGACATAAACCACGAACGAAAAACAACCAACCACCAACGAAAAAGACAATCTGAAGAAAATCAATTGGTTATCGAAATAAATATCCAAATTCGAGTAGCATACTTGAGAAATTGTCACAACAATAGTGTCCGTTAGCAGAGACATGAGTATATTTGCTCTGACCAGTCGGTCAATTGATATAGGAGAACATGTACACGTAGACTTAATTGAGCACCGTGTAAACTATTGCGAGAGCTGCAAGTATATAGAGAAAAAAAGTAATTTCGGCGATTAGAATCATTAGGAGATCAAAAAGAAGGAAGAGAGGAGTGGTTTAGAAGAAAGAATGATAAATTTCTAGCAACAGACGATAGCCACGTGAAAGAAAGAGAACGAAAGAATCAATTGGATTCGTCTTCCATAAACATCAAATGAATTCGCTGACAAATGCCTCATTAGGCGTTCTGAAAAATTTCCAATAAATATCTTGTTTCTGTTGCATTTGATCGATAATCTCAACTGTAGAAACCCAAATTAAAAACTAAATCGATAGAGGGCGCTAGGTGTGATGAAAGGGGTGGAGAACGCACTGTCAAATGGTCAAACATCTACCAACTCGTATATGTAAAAGCGGCACCAGAATTTTCACTCAGGGCGGACTCACTATAGAAATCGTACTTTCTAGGGTATAAATGTTAGTTTTCTGCGGAAATTTTTCAAAGTCAGGGTGAGCTCAAAAAACGTCAGGGTGAACTCAGTCCACTCTTCGCGCCGCCACTACTCGTATGTAAATTAATTAATGGAGGAAAGCGAATTGCACTTAGCAAGGTGCACTAATCGATTTTGCATTAACTCGCTCTGTTTGAGTACTTTGATGACGGTATACGAAGATCAGTTTGATTGAAATCAATATGATTCGATAAATGCTAATTCAATTCCATAGAAATATCTTTTTTTCATCAACCGAGTGCATTTATATGCAATCATTTTAATCAGTAAAGGATGTTTTTCCACTACGAAAAGGAAAATTTTCACGACTTATTTACTCAAGCCTAATGAACAAATTCACCTTATTTGTTAACGATCATTTATTTCTCTTACATCATAATGCGTTAATTGATTTCATATAAACAAAGTAAAATAGCGTTGAGAATTGTTGACATCCCATTAAAATATTAAAATATTCTTTTCATCGACACTTGTCACTTTAGAAGTGTTTCATTTTCTATTTCATTGACTTAGAGTCTAACAATAGAATTTTCTTCTTGAAATCTTCGAATGATATAATCATGTGCGATTGAATAACTAGATGGGAACATTTTTGCATATTTTTAGAACTTGAATCCTCATATCCTTGTACACATTGTTAGAAGGCGTGTAAACCCATTTGACAAGATGAATGTTAATGTAACAAGATGAATTATAGGCATGTAAATAATCAGAAGCGAACTCATCTGTTTCTCATTAATTCATTAGATTCATGTTTCTATACATATCTGTCGTCATTTATAACTTGTACGAGAATTTAAGCACGTACACGACTATCGATAAATGTTTACAGGAAGAAAACTCGATGAATTGTTTTTCTTCATTTATGGAAATGATGTTTATCTGACTGTCTCTTATATTAAACAAACAAGCATTTGATGCTATCTAGTAAAGAATACGATTTAATATGAACAATAACGATAATGAATGATCTCGCTGTCGTAATGAGCTGAATAGAAGATACTCGACAGATTTCCTGTTCATTGTCTCTCACCTGTCATAGAAAGAAACCAGGAGAGACAAGAAAAAGATCAATCAATCGTATACATGGGCTTCAAATGCAATGTTCCGATGTTTTACACGTCCGGAAATGTTGTCTGTCGTGCTTTTTTGTCTCTTGCTTCTTTTATCGTTAAATATTTGTTCAAATGACATACATACACACGTCCTAGTCATCCTGCAATGACAATTTAGCCATGCTGGAAATCCCAATGGAATCTTAATCATCGAACCTTCGATGAATGTCGAGATAAAATTCTAGCGAGTTCCATCGTGTTCCGTTCTCTTCATCAAACAAGGACAGACAGAAGGGAATGAACAAATAAAGAAAATTTAATTTAGACATTGTAAGCATGTCAGATCTCATTTATCATATTTTCTGACCAAATCTACTTGTATTACCTTTTCCCTGGTGAATCAAATCTTTCAATGGTGGTCAACACCTTCGTCCTTTTTCCTTTCTTTCTTTTTTTTTATTCGCGATACAAACAATGAACTTATTAAGTCTTCTTTTTATCTCTCTGGGCGCCTATTTAGAAAATATAACAAAGAAACAGAGAGAGAGAGAGAGAGCGGCAGAAAAAAGAGAGAAAAAGTGACATCGCTTTACTATACAATAGGAGAGAACTGCATTGACAAGATTTCCGAGTGTGAATTCTTCATAAAAAGTCATATCCTCCCTCTCGAACATTTACTCGTAATGACGACATGGTCATAGTAGTTGTCGCACTTACTTACTTATTCACTTATTTTGTATAGCCTATTCTCTAGACATTGATGTTTTTCAAAGATATCAATTCATATTCACATGTGTATCGACACTTGATGCTTTCGCTTTTAATCGTTCTATCACTTCTCCACATGCCAGCTTTTATCTGTCAGCTCGAGAGAGACAGAGAGGGAGAAAATTTGACGCCACCAGAGACGCTAGTAACTTGCCGTCTCTTTAAAATCAATATGCAAACAAAACCATTTGAATTATTCAAATAAGTACAACCCATTCTTTTTTTTCTTTTCCAGGTTTTTTTTGTTGTGTCCTCATAAGGAGAAGAGAAAACGACGGTATTTCTTTTGTATTACAATTTTTCCTACGCCTGACTGTCTGTCTATTTAATGTAATATGAAAAGAAGATTGACACAGAGAGAAAAAGAAACAAAGTGTCCGAATTACTATCACAACTATTCATTGACATTACATAAAGTGTTAAAAAAGAATGTATGTGCAGGTGAAGCAGAGAATCATTGCTTTAATATATATTAGCATGCCTATCTCTTCTGCATAATGAAGACGTGACCAACATATTCTGTAAGTTTCTTTTTCTCTATCTCTGTCTCTTGCGCTTTTTCTTTCTCTATGTCTATCTCATTTGAAGCTATCTATCATTATTTCTGTAATCCTTTAGATAAGAGAAGGGAAGAGCATCACTGCTCATCGAGCCGATATAAATATGGTCGTGCATCCGGTGCTGTTCACTTTATGAGTAACATACACATACACTCATGTACACCTGTCACTAACCACATAAATTACACGGAGCAGAGAAAAAAGAATCGTTATGATGTCAATTTGCCATAAACACCTAATTTTGCACACGCAGTGTAGCTTTTCCTTCTCTCTCCATCTGTACCTATTTTTTCTGCTTTAATGACTGATTGTAACGCACCACCGCAACTGTGGTTAGCTGAACCACACAAGTCTGAAATTATTTCTAGTACTTAAATTTTGAGTGACATCAGACAGGTATATAATCAAGTTTTCTTTTGTCTAATTCTGATTGAGAAAAGACTTTTCAGGGAAAGATTCCATTACAAATATTAATAGACTGTTGATTGTGGAGATTAATTTCTAATCTGTATTTTTAGATCTGACATTGATTATTCTCTGATAATTCCAAATCTTTAATGACAACCAGTCACCAGTTTTTGTGTTGAGAATAACCATCTGAATGAATGAATGAAGCAGTCGTTCGCCCGGATTTTTATTATTTTCTCACTCATTCTTAGTTTGACATCGTTCATTCTGAGTTTGATTGCATTGCATTTACCGAATTGGAAATACATACATCTTCGTTCGACGTTCAAACCTGCCGTCCTCGCCGAAGATCAGCCGATGGATCCGTTAATTCGTGGTGAAGTTGACAAGTATATTGAAATACTTTATCGACGAGGTAATTTGCATAATTAGTAACCCAGATTCGATGAAACTCGCCTTTGATCTACTAGGTGACACTCATTCATTTGGTTTAGTCACTCACTGTATTGTCGATGGTGAGTGCGGACAAAATTACCTCCCAACATTTCCCGAGAAGAACTACGGCTTATGTCATCATATCAATTATCATCGTCAATGTATCTTTTCCAATCTTTTCATATTGAATAATAATACGAAATGTACATGTCAAGCACCGTCCTACGCGAAAATCATTCATACATTCTTAATATTATTAATCAGTTTAGAATTATTCTTTATTTTTATTACTAGTCTGCGTCTGACCCGGCAACATTGCCATACGTTCTGTTTAAATGATAGTTTACTTCGCCTCTTCTCACTTTTGTCATTATTATCGTCGATTATTTTTCTTATTATCATACTCGTACAATACAACAGCAATCGACTGCTTGAACCGTTGGAGTTCTTTGATTCCATGCGACAACATTATTCTCGGATACAAATCTACACATTCACGAAAGACCTCGACCTAATTATTCAACAGATTGAGAATTCCTTAGATATACACATTGGTGCATCGTATGTTTGTATATTAATAGTATTAGTATTGATTATTCTCTCGCTTTTCACCTCTGTTACTGTTGAAATGAAGATTTCTTCGACTTCATCATCGTTAACCATTAATGATGAAGAGGAAAAACGGCCAAATCTGATTTTAATACAACCAACACCAGCGGAACGGTTTGTTCCATCTGAACAAATACGATTTGTTCGACAAACAAAAGTTTAAAAAATTGCTTCTCTGTGTTCGTTATGTAAATGTGACCGTTTCTTTTTCTCTCTGTGAAGATTAATTAGATTAGAAGAATAACGATGTTTGATGATTGTTAATCACAAATGATTTTTCAAGAAGAACAAAAGAGATTTCTTCACTTGATTGATCTTCTCATTGATTTAGTTAAACAAGACGAGATAGAATAACGATTACAATTTCGATCTGAACCTGCTGAATATGATCGATCCGCAATGGCAGATGACATGAGAAAAGTCTCATTCCTCTTTGTTGCTCTTTTTTATCCGCTGATAAAAGGTTTCTGTTTTGTTCGTTTATTTATTACCGACAATTAACTAGAAAGATTGAAGAGCAACAAGATTAGTATATTTTTTGAACAAAAAACGACACATAGTTTCAAGTGAATAAAATATCTTTCTTAGTCTTTTATGGTATTTTTTTGTTCATTCTCTCTTCGATTCTGTGTGTTCAGCAACGTCAATGGCTGAACGTTGGTTCTCCATCGCGCTGTCTGCCGTCTTGTAATACGTGAAAAGATATTCTTCAGCATTTGATGCATCTCTTTTTGCCCAGCAAGAACCACAAATGGACAACCAAATATAACTAAATACTTCAAATGAGCGAAATAACGTATGCGGATATCGGCTGCCCATGGTAAAAATCGACCGCGTCGAACGTAGTTACCGAAAATTAACAAAATGCAAGACGGAACATAAACACTCATGTACAAAATGCCGATAAACGCCAATTGACCGATCATACGAAAATTGTTTCGCCATTGAGAAAGACGATGCCTTTGTTTCATGTTCTTCTTTTGCATAAGTACACGGAAGATCAATATACCATTCCCAACGACGATAACGAACAATGGGACCATGAAAAAGCCGATATTTTCGACATGGTTAAAGGCTGTTGTATTCGTCAGATAACAAGCTGTGCCACATTGAAATGTAAAATAAGAGAACGTCTGTTGACATGGATAGCCAAATATTAAAACTGTGTACCAAATGGTTGGTATAGCGAAACACAAGACCATTGGTAGTTGATTGAGTAAACGATGATGATTACGAAGGAGAATGTGACGAAAAACAAAAATGTATCGTTCAATTGATGCAAATGCCATGATGAACAGATCGACAGCGGTTAATATGGCATCAGACCATGTCCAAAATAAACAAAAGAATGCATTTTGAAAGGGAACTTCATTCTCATGGAAAAAATACAATCGAAATGGTAAATCGATTAACATCTAAATCAATGAATTCGTCATTTTCATTGCCGTTCAATCATACAACTTACATGTACAAAATTAACAATCAACAAACAGATGATCAGAAGATTCGATGATTTAACTCGTAACACCGGTAAACGAATAAAACTGTGGAAGATAAAGATAAAACAAACAATTGATGGAATGATTAAACTCGTCAGAAGATAGAATAAGATTTCCGGACTTTCATCGAGCCAATGGTGCTGAGAAGTGTAATTCGAACTATTTGATGAAGTGCCATTTCCGGAAGTCGGGCGTCTTGTTGAGTTTCTTGTGCGATTGAAGGTTGGTCGGATAGTCGTACTCATCGTGCATTAAATAACTTCAAATGAATATTTTGAGCGACTAAGCTAGAGAATACATGAAAGAGACGCGTGAGTTGTAAATTCTGCGTTTGACGTCTCGTTATCTCAGAAGTAAAGCTTTGGATTGACATGAAAAAATCTCATTTTTGTATTTGTTTTTGATAGAAATAAATTATTTTCAAAAAAAAATTATTACAAACTGTCATCAACATTATCCTGCTTTTCAGTATTTTGACAAACGGGAAAATCAACTCGAGATATAGGTGAAAAAATGACGTAAAGGGTTATTTTGATCAGTAGGAGGCACAGATGATTTTTCATGTTTCTCTGACACTGTCATATAAATTCCAAAGGTTGCTAGTACTGAACTGTATATCTTTATTTTAATGATCATCTGTTCTTGAACTCGTATATTCTCTCATTAATATCTCGTCAAATACACTACCCAAAACAATTTTCTGTTATTGAATTCGACACGAGTAACTTTCTTATAACACGATGATTTCTATGACTGAGATGAAGAAGTCAACCATTTATGATGGATGCTCTACTAAATTGGCTAAAAATAAACATCAAATGTGTCTACTTTACTCAGATTCATCTGTTTAATTATTCAAGTGAAAATGTGTAGCCAAAAAACAGTTTTTGGTATTCCTCTGATGCGCCTAAATGGAGTATTTTAAAACTAGATGATATGCTATAAATGTGCTCGTGAGAATCATCATATTCTCTGTTAATTGAACTTAATTAACCCAATTTATCTCGGAGCAATGTCTAGTCATTTAAATTCTGAATTAAATTCATTCATTAAAACTAAAGATGTTACTAAAGCAGGGGGAGCGGAACCTCATAGATCCTAGGATCTAGCAGGATCCGTAAGAATTTACAGTAGGAATTATTGTGCCGTACCATAGTCATATAGTAGATGAGTAAATTGTCTATGAAAACAGAGCCATCCAAGAAAAATCATCAAGAGAGACAGCAATGCTCATTGTTTTGTTATTTTTACAAGTCGTTTGTATTTTACATATCTTATTTCGTATCTGAAGGCTAACTTAAAGTTTCCTAGTGTCCTGAATGCAGACAGAAAAAAGTAAAACTATTTGCTTACGTTCACTGGAACTACCGCTGTCTTCGGATTCTAATTCTCTCAACTGTAGAATCATATGAAAAAAAGCTAGCTGCTTTTTTACTCTGTTTATGAGTGTCTATGTTGGCGAAACAATAGCGTCATATATTCTGTAGAGTGATACTGCAGGATATGGCTTTCAAAGACATGACCTACTTCTCGCACTCATGATCTGCAGAATATCTGACACAACTCTTCACGGTAGCTTCACTCAGATCCTCATACATACCGATCACCAAAACGCCTGAATTTGAGTTTTAACTTGAAACTTTCAAATTGCGTAGATATATACTATGAGAACGCCTTTGGCTTCGCAGATTCTTCACCATTCTGTTATTAACAGGATTTCATGTCTGTCGCATAGTGGCAAGGGCAAAGAGACATAAAATGTTAGTTCATATGATTAGTCCACATTAAATGAAGAGATTATCGTATTTTGTGGCTATACACAGGCCTTCTGGAGACGAACGATTGGCTAAAATATCAGTTCGAAATCTTTAAGCGTTTCTATTTAAAAAAAGACCGACATATATCGATATCGGCCCATCTTGACCGAGAAAAAGTGTACGAATACTAAAGAGATATGGAATACGTTAAGTAGTTTTCCTAGGAAAGATTCTAATTCTCATGAAAAAAATAGGAACTGAAAGGATTAAATCATAGATCACTACCTGTATTTGGTATTACTCAATAGTAGATGTTATAAGGCAAATATGTGTATGTTGATCCAGGAGAACGCCAATGCACAGAAAATCTCCACTAATTCTGTAGATATTTGTAAACCTTGTAAAACTCTACAAGGATCAAAGAGGATTCGTAGTATCCTCAGGAAACGGGAACCACGAGGATCTGACGAACCTATGATGATGCTTCAGGATCCACTTTTTCCCGTTTGGACAAATTAACGGCGTCTCACGAGAATAATCACTCTTTCTATACAACAAACTGATTATATTCTCTATTTGTACCAAACACAACGTCAATTTTTTGTCAGGCCGATAAAAACGTCTGTGTTGATTTTCTCACTCAATCTTTTTCTGAAAGCAAGTTTATTTGCAAAAAGTCGATTCAGAGTTACATTCATGTACAAGAAATTATTCGATCTTTACATGAATGAGAAAAAGATCTCTGTAGTTCGTTTGTCAAGTGAACGTATGACCGCGAATTTGACACAAAACTAAACTTCTCATGAAGTTCTGTATGTTTCATGTCAACAGCTGTTTGTATGACTTTATTGCCAAAATCAAGGGTAAGGATCAAAGGGAAGCGTTACATTTTTTCATAAACTCCTTAATCGAAATCAACGAAACACAAAGATCAAATATAAGAATAACAACAATAGTAATCAATATGTATCATGAAGTAAATCAAAAAATGATGTGAATAGAAAAAAGTTCATGCGTTTTTATGGTATTATTCGATTAGATTAATAGCAGAAAAGGTAGAGAAAGTTGTTTCAATCATTAATGCTGGTGTACTTGGCTCTCACGTTCTGTATCTTTTGTTAAAATTTAGTGTTCATTCAAAAGTTATAATCATCTCCGTTTATAATTCAGATGAGATCAAGTCTCAATTAGAAAAACTTTTTTTGGTGTGTATTATGGCAATTATCATTCATAGTGACGAAAGAACGGCGGAAGATTGAAATACTAATGATATAACACGAAATGGTAGTATGGAACATATTTGTCATATGAGTAGAGCACGTATGAGTATAAAAGATGTCGAAATCATCAATATACATTTAATACGGAAGAATTTATTCAACTATTGTCTCTGAAATATACAACCGTTCGTGAAGATTTTTTGTTTCAAAGTGTTCCCACTTTTTCTTAACTATGTTCTTGTGCCTATGCACATATGACAAGAAAAAATCGAGGTAAACTTCGTCCTGATCGTTTGTGCTGATACAATTCTTCTTAAGATCTAATAAGAATACTGAGAAAATGAAATTTTCAAGTACAGGAGACAACAAATTCATTTTCATTTCTTATGAATTGATTAAACATTTCAAGAGCATTATGCGAAACGTTTTGATGTCAAAATTCAGCTTTGACCACATTTTAACGTAATAGAATCATTTTTAGAATGATATAGACTCAGATGAGGAAATATACGTACACAGATCTCAAAATGGATCTTGATATACATTGCTCTCTCTAGCTCAAATAATTTATCCTTAGTCGAAATCCAAAACATGTATTGATTCTGTCTCGCAATGCTTGGATTTCTTTTCTGACAAGACGATTAGATGAAAGTTCATCGTGAAATCGAATAAAACGTAATATAGTGGAAAATCAAAAGGTACAAAAGATACATTCATTCACAACGGAAACTTGATTTCGATTGGATCATACGAAATGTTCTTTTGTACACGACCATCAAATATACGGTTTGTACAAAATAACGTAGAAAAACCTATCGTCTAGTTGCTGAACAACCACTGGACATTTATTCGTTGAGTTACAATTTCTTTGACGCTGTCCTTTCCCTCTATTTCAAAAAAGTCTTGACACACATATGCATATAGAATGACTAGGAAAGTCCAAACACTATCTCAACATCTGGACACAGTCAAATGAGAGACGACAGTATAGAAAATACTATACGAACACGAAAAAGAAAAGGAAACAAACATGAATTATATATTCACCTCTAACATCTTTACACGTTCGACTTGGCCGTCTGGAGTAGCGATCAAAAAGAAAAAAAACAAATGTAAATTCAATCTGGAATCTTCGTTCAGTCTAGAACAAGCGGAGAAGTATTCCTGTTTATCTCGAAAGAAAAGAAAATAAATTTGACTTTACATATACAAAGATGAATTAATTGTAGCCAGTAAACAAAATCGTGAACATACTCGTATGACATAGAGTGATGATTTTACTGTAGTCACTCTGGTATTTCTAGCCAGTACATATCACTGTCTGACGATGCGTGGAGGTGTTAGTCGCTTTCGTTGTCTTCTACTCCTGCATATGCAGTCATAGTTCGATAGTGATTACATTTAGTGTAGGAATAAAAGTCACTCTGACCTTCTAAAGTAGTTATACTTCAATAAGATGAAATGATTGTGTAAAATGTCCCTCTTACATTACGAATTGAACAGTTCTTCTATTTATGTAGTTTTCTAGCTTTGTCTATTTGTGAAAATGGCTGATTTCTCAACCAATACACAGAAATTACGTTTGACTGAACGAGAATTTCGAAAAATGTCGACAAATGGAAATAACACAATCACATGGGACGAAAGCAGTATGTGTCACTCATCATCATATCGAATTTATTTCGAGGTCGCCTGTTCTTTTAGTTACAATTATTCAACAAATATGTACATCACGTTCAAAAGAACCCAGGTCAATAAATCCGATGCTGGATCCCACCATCCGACAAAATCTCATCGGATTCCTGGAAACGGAATTGCATTGGAATCCGACTAGAAAAATTCCCTGGCTGTTGCAAATTTTATGAAAGATCTTTTTGACTATGTTCTATGATGACCCTTAGGAAATCCATGTTTCGGATCCCACATGGGATCCGAGACCGTCGGAATCCAATGCGATTCCGCCACCAGGATTTCATGGGATCCATCGAATTCCTGTAGGATCTGATAAAATCCTATATTGGATCCGAGTATGGGATTGTTCGACCTGGGTTCTATCTACGTTTAAATTCAATGAAGTAATACGACGGCCGTTGCAATAACAATGAAGTCTTCTTTTCGAAATTAATTAGCTCGCAAAGTAATATAAGATAGTACTAAGCACATTGCTGACTGCAAATGAATTTCCCTTTGAATTTGTGATGGACTTTCGACGTTGAGAAGATAAAGAGATATTTTCTTCCTGAAACATCGATTAATCAAGTACAATAGATGTCGAACACATGTTAGGACTGATCAAAGAGAAGTTGACTGGCTACTTTCTTTCTTCATTTGTTTTTCTTACCTTTGACCTCGATTGTTGCTCAACATTAAACGCATAGAGAAAAAAATAATAAAGGCATATCATACTTTTCTCGTCTGCTATTGATATATCAGTCGACGATGACGTACCTCCATATTTACTGAACATTTCCTTCTCATTCTATCTATTTGACATGACCAGTATGGCCGAGAAAATCAATGTAAGAACATGTGTTTAGTTAAACTTGGTCGACGTAAATATGAGATTTCAATTCGGAGAAAAAAACGAGAATTATCGAGTTATAAGCCGATGTCGACTCAGTCTCCCCCAGTTGTTTTTTTATTTGATCTTGATGACAATTTGAACGACGTATTGAAGCAAACGCGCCATCTAAGAAAGTAGTCCAGAGCTAGAGCTAGTCGATTAAAACATCTTTCGAAGAATTTTGAATCGAACATGTTGAAAACGATTTCATCTTGTTTTTCTTTCTAGGATGAGTCAAATACGAAAGATCGTTTGGCGGAATTTGCTAAGGAAGTTATAACATTAGGCGAGCAGAATGTCACCATCAGTCCACAGATGTTGAAGGAGCTGAGCGAAAAATATCATATTTCACCACCGTCTACATGAAAACATTGTTTTTCTTTGTTGTTGTTGGATTTAAAATGAAGATAATCGTTTGTTGTCTTAATTTCATTGAAGAAAAACAAATAAAATACAGAAATTTTCTATCGATATGGAAGATCAGAGACTAAGAATAGATTGAACGTGAAATATCGTCAGAGAAGTTATTTCAAGCGCTTTTCGTGTTACCCATGAAAAGCATTGTTTCTGCGAAATCAAGATTCTAGTGAATATGGTTTGAGATGACAGATGTGCAGATGTAGGAAGGATTTTATCACATCCACACAAAATTAGATCATCTATAGAGGATTGGTTATAAGCATTGATAAAGTAATCCAGAGATTTTTGTTGATTTATGGATGTTTCATTTGAATCAAAGACAGATATTCATTGTGAATTGTTTGATTCAGTCGAAGAACTTGAGCTGAAGAAAATTTATCGTGATGAGTTGGGATTTGTCAAGACTCATAGAAAGATTTAGGATATCTTAGCACAAGGTTTAAGTATTTTCTGCAAGGATTCGCTCTGGCGTGCGGTCCAAGTAGAACTCAACGTGCTCTATTCAAACTAAACTATTTTTTCGGAGTCAGCGCTGTTTCAGAGAAAAATGCAAATTACTGTAAGAAACCAAAAATATTTCAATGAAAGAGATGAAATTATGACTCAATGCAATGATATTTGCTTTCTTGGTTTATACCCAGGTCGAACAATCCCATACTCGGATCCCACCGGATCCCATCGGATTCAATACTGAATTTTACCGGATCCTACAGGAATTCGACGGATCCGATGCAATCCTGGTGACGGAATCGCATTGGATTCCGACGGTCTCGGATCCGATCGGGTCCCACGTCGGATCTCGTCGGAACCGAAACATGGATTTCCTGGATTTTCTAAGGGTCATCATAGAATATAGCTAGAAAGATCGCTCATAAAATTTGCAACAACCGACGGGATTTTTCTAGTCGGATTCCAATGCGATTCCGTTTCCAGGAATCCGATCGGATTTTGTCGGATGGTAGGATCCGGTAAGATCCGATCGGATCCAGCATCGGATTTGTTGACCTGGGTAGTTTTGATTCTGTACTTGCCACTCCTTATGTCGCGATATGTCCTTATATGAACAGAATCTAACCGAAAGATATTTTTCTCTCGCGAAAGATCGAAAGATATTTTTCTCTCGCGAAAGATCGAAAGAAAAAAAATCCCACTTGATTTCAGTTGCGATTTGAGTTCTCTAAAGCAGAAAATTTTATATTTAGGAACAAGACCAAGTCACTTGTACTGTGTCGAAATTGAATCAAGTGGGTGATGGTGTGGGTGGAGGAAGAGAAGAATGACACCTCCATCCGGGTCCTGATTTACCAGCAGCTATTTATGAACAATTAGCCAGTGCTTATTATGATTATGAGATTTCGCTAAACGTTGACTGACACGTCTATATGCTAAGAAATTTGTTAAACATTTGAGTAAATGAACAGCATATGAAGAATAACAATGGAAAGCATTACAGGAGTAATAAAATTGACTCTTTTTTGTCAAAACTTAACGTTTAATTGGAATGAGAAACGTCACATGGCGGATCATGACGATGCATAATTTGTTTTGCACACGATGCAATTTTTTGCTCTCGTATACTAAAGGTACACAAGGAACGTCAATCATAGAAGGTATATAAAGGACACATTTTTCAGTAATAAACATTCAACTTTGTATACGTGTAAGCACACATTGCTTCTATCGTCGGTCTCAATTGAAAAAATGTCTAATCAAGAATACAGATTAGCCGATACTGCGGGATTTGATTCACTTAAATTACACAAATCATCGATTCCTCAGCCAAATCCAGGTGAAATTCAAATCAAATTTCGTGCTTGTTCTCTTAACTATCGAGATCTAATCATTAGTAAAGGATTATATCCATTACCAATGGAAACAAATGTTGTACCAACATCTGATGGAGCTGGTGAGATTACAGCTGTAGGTGCAGGTGTTACACATTTGAAAATTGGTGATCGTGTTTCACCTCATTCTCCTCAAGGTTATATTGGAGGACAAATCTCAGAAGAAGCATTTTCATTCGCTCTTGGAGGCGCACTTGATGGTTGTCTTCGTCAATATGGAAATTTTCAAGCTCTAAGTTGTGTGAAAATTCCAACTTCACTTTCATACGAAGAAGCAGCAACGTTACCTTGTGCTGCTCTAACAGCGTGAAATGCTTTGTATGGAGTGGCCGATAGAGCATTAAAACCTGGTCAAACTGTTCTTGTCCAAGGTACTGGCGGTGTAAGCCTTTTTGGTGCTCAATTTGCATTGGCAGCTGGAGCAAAAGTCATCTTAACTTCATCATCCAATAAGAAAATTGACGCTATTAAAACACATCTCGGAGAAAAGAATGTCATGACAATTAATTATTCGGAAGTTTCTGAATGGGGTAAGCGAGCAAAAGAACTAACGGATGGAAGAGGTGTTGATCATATTCTCGAAGTTGGTGGAGCAAATACGTTAAAACAATCAATTGAAGCAATTGCAATGAATGGTTCCATTCATGTTATTGGATTTCTTGGTCAGGGGAATGGATCTGATATGACTGTATCCGAATTGATTATGAATGTACTAACAAAAAATGCTTTTATTCGCGGAGTTCTCATTGGTAGTGTTGAACAATTCAAGGCAATGAATGCTGCTATTGAAGCAAATGATATTAAACCAATTATTGATAAAATTTTTGAATTTGAAGATGTTAAAAGTGCTTATGAATATCAATGGTCACAACAACATGTTGGAAAAGTTGTCATTCAAATACCACAATAAAGAAAACAATGAACTAATATAACCACCGTAGTAATCTTCTTATTTGAATATGTAAAATCTTTGTAAGATGTAGATTTTATTCAAACAAAATAATATGGAACAATATAAATGACAATTATATGTATATTTCCTTATTGGCAACGGCTAAGAAGACCGATAAAATATAGAATGATAGTTCTTCATCAAGTATAATCTATATTGTCTATTTATTTTTTTATTAAATATCATTCTAATTAATCTTATATTAAAATTATTATCAAAATTATCTTCATATGAGGGTGAGGGTGGGTAAAATTGTTTTAATAATCGGAATAGATAGAGCACACTTTGTTCCATCTGGAACAAATATGATCAGAGTTGGAATACACTCGTGTGTGAATCCGTTCAAGAAAAAGTCGAATCCGTGTCCAAGATGTCTTGCATTGCTTGCACATGTCTAGACGACTGAAGATCGCTGATATTGAATAATTCAACGAACATTGAAAAGATCCTTTCTTTGCTGTAATACACAGCTGGCTGACAACTATATTCATAAACACATTCCGAAGTACATAGAGGCGGCGTCAGAGTTTTTATTCAGAGAGGACTCAGCCCCCCTCTCCCTCCCCACTTGGCGCCGCGACTACAAGTACATGATTGAGAATAATACAAAGCGTTTCGATGAATTTCGACAGTTACAAAAATGTTCATTATTGGAAGAAAAAGAAGGGAAAGTGCTCATCATATTTAAATTAAAGCAAGCAGAGCAAGACAGGGTAGAAAAGAAAGCAAACATACAATTAAAAGTTTGCGTATTGTGAACATGGGAAAGTATACGTCTTTAGTGTTTTATTTACCATCACAGTCGTTAAAACTATAAAATTCAGGAAAATTGTCGTAAAATTATGATAATTGGTAATGTGTCAGTTCATCGAAAGATTTCCTATTCGTTATTGTGTTGATAAATCAGAAGATTTTTTCGATATATCTGCTTTTTGTGGCAGAACCGTAATCAGTGTCTTCAGCTCATAATTCCTCTAATGACGACGTAAGAAACAACGACGCAATAGATCAATTTTTCCAGTTTGACAACAAATTCTATCTTTACTTAAAATTCCCTTCTGCTTAATGAAAAAGTTTTAAATAAAAATACAATAATAGTTTGAATACCTGCTATTAATAAAATACTTTCCGAAGTCAATTAGAATGATGTCAACAAAACAGAATCATGTACTAACACTGACAGGAATAGAATCTTTATTGAAGGATGTCTCTGTAGGCGTTTAATTTCTATTAACAGTCGCCGTGAATGAATAAATACGCGACATTAGTCCCTTGTAATTTACAGAAGCCAAAATTTTACTAAATCTCACGTAATAGTTCGATTGGTGCAAGCCGTGTGAATGATAACATCTCCTTGATGGTCTTTCTAACGAGACTGTTTTGCTTAAATGTATCTTATTTCATGAGATTCTTCTATGTTCTTTAACAGGATGTAGATTTACTGGAGCGACTTCCAAGAAGACAACGACTTGCACGTCGATACCTTTTTTATCATGAGAAACAAAAAGGAAAAAAAAGGAAGCATTACAGTGAAAGTCTATTTTGGCATTTTCTAATTTCTGAGATATCTCATTAGTCAACGTGATTACAAATTCTCAGATAAAAAAACACACGAGATTTGCTATTCTTTTTCTTTTGTATGGCTGATTATTCATTGATATTCGAATATCTGATAGTTATTTCACATAGCTTGTTGAAATATTGTTCGTCCTTAGATTTTTCTTTTTAATTGGCAAAGAAAAAGACGGTTTCTTCTACGTTAATCTTCTAACGTGACATTTTCTCATCTTAGACAGTTGATGATAATGACGACATTTGAAGGAATTGCTTATATGAATTCTACGAAGAATGACTCGGTCACCAATCAAATCGATCTGCAATTTTCTGATTATCGTCGATTATTGTCATCGTTTGATGAAGACACACCAATCAGCAACGATTTCCAAGCTTTCACGAGTGTTTTAATATGCGCCTTCGGTATGTTTGCTGGTATTTTACAATGGAATATTATCCTTCAACGACACTTTCGAAATAGTTTGTTTCCTGAAAAGATTTTTATCCACCTCTTCTTCGATTCGTGTCATCTAACGAATATAATCGCGACTCATACCATTATTCTCTTCGTTTATACAACACAAACGAATGATCTGCCTCCGTATTGTCCACTTTCAACATTCTTCTTTTCTTTGGCATCGTTTGGCTCGCTGATGTACCTGTCTTGGGGTGCTTTTTGGCGTCATATGAATGTGTATCACAAAGAATTCTATTGTCGATATGCACGCCATCGAATTTCAGCACATCGGATTATTTTAATTGCATCAACAAGTTGGTTAATTGTAAATTTTCCAAAACTCAACTTTAATGACGAGTCTTAATGTAAAGTGCGTCTTTTTTGCCTTTTTTCGTCGAATAAAAGCCAATGAGTGACTTCATACACTTGTAGATTGTAATGAAATTTTAATGAATAGACCCAGATGAAGTGCAGCTCTTTCTCTTCGAATACATCCTCATGCACGAGATCTATTTGGAAAATGACTCAAATATTCATTCGAGTAATTCTTCTGTCCTTTGATGTGTAGGAAATGTTACTTGCGCGACTGTTTCATTGACTGAAAAGAATTGCTGATTGGTCACTAAATTATCTGTCTATTATCTTGCATTTTTTTACATTGATTCGCTTATCGGAAGTTGTTATAGTCCATACTAGACGTAAGTGTCATATAGCGAAGTGCGTAATCGTTGTTTGTTTGTTTCTGTACTCGTGCAAGAGTAAGATACACAAATAGTTATTGGACTTTATTAATCAATTCAACAAACACATTAGGCAAAGAAAAGAGAGAAATGAAGAAGAGTTTTTTTTATCCAGGCAAAACGCATGATTGCTCACTTTGAGACCAAACGTAGTTGGGCGAACAGGCGATAATGTTCATTTTACCTTCACTATCGCAAAAGACGAATTTATGTTTATCTAATGGATATTCATGGTAGACAAAGTTAGCGCGGAGATTTTCTAATGTACATGGATTGAAACTGGCTGTTAAATCTAAAACAGTCAAATGAGAAGAAGAGAATAGGTGGGTGTGTTCATCTTACGTGTTGCGATTTCAGTGATTGTTGTTGTTGTTGTTGTTGATGGTTGAGTTATTTCTTCGGTCATTAGAAATTGTGATGAATTAGTTAATAAATGAATTAGACGTGGTGTTGATGATGTCGCTTCATATACACTAGATAATTGACTTGTCAATTCAATCGGTTGGCGAGTATTGATATCAGCGTCAGTGGTTGTCATATAATCAACTTGCTTTTCGGTTGAAGTGATGATGTGTTGTTCGGTCGTTGTTTCGTCGGAATAAATCATCGTTGATCCAATCGGCGCCAATGTGTCATTTTGATTATTTCCTTCCGTAGTCATTGTTAACAAACTTATTTCCATATGATTTATTACTTCAGTTGAATGCTCGGGTAGCTTCATTGTGATATCGATTGGTATTGTGCTCGAAATGATAGTTGTTGTTGTTGTCAGTTCGGGTGTAGTGACTGGTTCATATTTATTTCGTGGTGAGACATCTGCAAAACAAAAATATTAGCCATGGAAGACTTCATCGTTTGATTAGTTGTCGCTTTTGCCCTACCGATCTTTTTACATTGAATCCAGTTGACATTTGCATCACACACGCCAGTGCCTGGCCGGTAAGTGCCGCCGATAACGCGATTGATACCAAAATAGATATCATTATCAGGTTGAACACCAGGATAACAAAGCGAATCGAAACTAGAAAACATATTCGTGACATAAATTAGGAAAGGATGTTGATTTTCTTACCAATTACACGTGACATTTTGTCTCGCAAGTGCATATAAATAAGGATTAGACAGTATTTGATGATATGACCGATGGTTAGTTAGTTCAACTCGTTCGTTACTAAACATAGACAGATATTAGACAAAGTTGATCAATAATGCAAAACAATTTACCTAACAAGAATTGTTATATTGTCGAATGGTTCAATAACATTATAGTCGATCTTTAAGAGAAGTGTATCGCCACATATTTTTGTATTTGCCCAAATCTGAAACGAAACCGTCGATCGATTAATGTATTCATTCATTAAGTTTCTTACATAAAATCGATTATCATTCGAGTGAATTTCAGCGGAATTCGATGTTGTGCCACCATCACCCCCGTAGCCATTATTGGTGGCTGAGTCGCCGATATTAAATGTAAAGCCGTGAATTTGTGAGCCCATGCTCAGATCAAATCGAGCAATACGTCGTGATCCAAACGGATCAAAAGTTAATCGAACAACACCTAAGAGATTTTTGATCAATCGAAAATACATTGCGAATCCATCGACAAACCTTGTGCGGTACATTCTCGAACATCAGCATTCGGATCAAGATATGTTAAATGACTAATCCAGTTGATATTTTCGAGATCTCGCTGCACATATGTTTTGTTATTCACGTCGATGTCCAATGCAGATTCTAAATTGAATAAGATTTTCGCTATCTTTCTTCTCCTAATGATGAACATACCTTTATCTGCAAAACATTCGATGAATGTTAAGTTTGCGAAGCAGAGACCGATACCAGTTTGCTTTCCATTGATATTACGATTGAGACCAACTGATAAATGAGAAGCATTGGGATTGAAAAACAGAGCATCCGTTCGATTGAATTGAACAGTTAACTTTGGATGTTGGCGAAGTTTATTTTCAATTTGTATCCATTCATTCGATATGTAGATTGTTAAATCTTCTCCTGGTTCAAGTAGAGTAACTGATTGTTCAGAGATATCAACATGCTGTTCATTATTCAAGCGATATTCAATTGAAACCTGTTGATTGAAGATATTCACACTACGAACTGTTGTATTTTCTTCATCAGTAAATCCTTCAACAAAAGAAAACCGTTGCGAATGAAACGGACGATGAAGGATCTAGTAACGTACCGATATC